TATTCACTGAAATTTTCACTGAAAGTGAAAAATTCGAAATTTTTGAAAAAGTATCAGGGGAACATGACCATCGAGGAGCTATTCAGTTTTTAAACAATATTTCCATTTATTAGCCATTTACAAAAGAAAAAATTGGAATTATTTTGAAAAAAAAAAATGAATGATGCGGGTATCGAACCCAAGGGGTCCGCGTGCCAGTCAAGCGCGTTGCCGGTGAGGCAACGCGCTCATTATGAAATTACAATTTAATTAGTAGTATATCTGCAATATATTGAACAATTTTTTTCATTCAAAATTCCATAAAATGTGACTTCCCTCTTCCGCTCGTTCTAGTCGGCTAAATTTCTGTTAAACAATTAAAAAACAAAAAGCATTCATACCGCAGACAATAAGATTCACCCCGTCGACTCGATGGACACCCCAGCATTGCAATAAAAACTTAGTTAATAAAAAAAACACCCCAGTATTGCGTGTGGCGCTCTCTCTCTTGGAGTGCAGTACTACGATGCCGCTGGGGTCACTCAAACCCCCAGAACTGAGCCTCTGCTTCAGTCAATTCTCTTTGAAGAGGAGCATGGAAATTCGGTTATTTAGTGTTAACAATAAGATTTTCAAAGCAATGGATGAAGAAACATTGAACAGGTACTGAAAATATTGTTAAAGAGGCTGCACTCATCTAATTAAGGTGAACATATAATTAGCCTAAAATTGTCATCCAAAATTATGCGAATCTGAAACTTCTGAAATTACAATTTAATTAGAATAATCATGATAATTATTCATTCAATAAATAAACCATTGATAAACATGAAAAGTGCCATGTTCTTACGATTACTTGTTCCTATGCAATTCGGGAGATGATTGAATATTGTTGTTAGGCTTGCAGCAGAGGCTTTGATTGAAGAGGCAAAGGTTGGGGCCCGTAGAGCTGAAATAATGGGCCCCAGTGGCTGGGTAAAACCCAAGGAAACAATAAACAAACGATTTCTACGGTCGACGCTGCGAAATGCAATTTTATCCAACAGACATAGACAGAGGTCGAAGGAGAAACATTTCGAGACGTCTCCCCACAAAGACAGCAGCCCAAAAATCGACGAGAAAATTAAAAACAAGAGGAAAGACTAGTTCAAAATTAATGATGCTGGGTAATAATTTATAACGACAACCAGTTAACTTTCTCAAACAATTTTTTAATTAATCATAAGTAAAAGTGAAAATCGAGGACAAGTTCGTAGCAAATTCTTTCAAAATTCTCCTAAATTACCTTATAATTTTTTTAACCTAACTTGTAAAAATTTTCACAGGCACCAAAATACCACATACAAATTATATACTCCAATCCAATCGCATTCACATTTGTCTAATTAGTCTGAAAGAAAGTTCTCAAATCGAATTTTCCACTTTTCACTTATAAAATATGAATATACAATTATAATAATTAAAATATTTTGCATTGATAGGTTGCTCACAATAGTTCAGTTGATATTAGAAATTTCTTCTAAACAAAAAAAAAGAAAAACTAATAGCTTGTTATCCGGCAAGAGTTGCCATCGCTAGCCCACTTTGTGTAATTACAGAAGTCATTGCAATATTACCTATCTCAGTGCCGGTGGTAGATAAGAAAATTTATCAATTCCACTGACTATTGCTACTCTCTGTTGCCTAAGGACGCATTAAAATTGCACCGATAGCACAACGACTGCTGAAGAGCGATAAAAAATTCTTAATACAAGTTACAGTTCCTATGATCATTTGGAGCCATTTTTCTTACACTCGGTATTCTTGTAGTTCACCACTAGGTCTTTTATGTCTGCTAGGGCTTTTTCTATTGCTTTAGCAAATCTTCCTGAATTCTGAAATCAAAATCGAGCGAAAAAATTTACAAGATATTAATATTAAAATATAAAATCAATACTTGATGGATTTTTCTAATTACTCCCCAAATAAAAATCATATGATCACATAAAAATGGTATTTAAAATACTCACAGTTTCAGGTGAACTAGTTTTACAAGAAATATGGAAGAAAATAAGATCTTCCCCAGCGATGATATAAGAAACTCCATATCCATCATCAGCGACGGGGCCGAAGCCTCCTCCAGCAGAGATACAATTTGGATGTTTATTCAAGTCTAATTTCGAGGTTTGTCCATGAGGAGTTTGCGAGGTAGATAGCTTCCAGGGTTCACTGAGAACCTCCTTGAGGAACGGTGAATCCACCTCCAGATATTTAGAGACGACGTAAAGACAGAAAAGATGTCTGTCAATGCCTTTTCCAACCATGGCATCCTGGTAGCCACGTTGATGCTGCTGACTGGCCAGCCTGAACAGCTTATACTTCTCCTCGACACTCGTTGACTGGTCCTCCATGGCCTTCACCCAGGTAGCAGACTCAATGGTGCAAGGTCGTACAGTCTCAGTTCTACCCTCTCGGAACAATCTTGTCATGGAGGCCTCATAAGTAAGTGAGAATCTCCCTGCATCTCTGTAGTAAGCGAGCTGCAATGCCATTTGAATATAGGCATCCGGAGACATTGAGCACTTTTTCATGAAGCCCTTGCCATAATTATCGTGTTGATAAATACGTAGATCGACGTCATTCAATAAATTATTAGCAGCCTGAAAAAAATATAAGAGTCAATTTCAAAGTCAGTATTCATAAGATGTTTTATATGAGTAATATATCGTAGACTATTTTTTTTTCATTCTTAAATCTGAATAATTTATATGAATAAATTGAATAACGAAGCACTCACTTGAACTGCATTCTCAATAACTTGGATGCACTCACTGCTGAGCTCCCACTGCAGACGAGATGGCACCAGTTCAAACTCCAGTGTACCAATTGTGTGATTATCCTCAGTATATCTTTTTAAAAGTAACATAAATTAGTGGATTGCTCCCACAATTTTATATTACAGTAATGCAGTTGCAGTATGTACATCATGCAATAGCAATGAAGCGGTTGAGACGAAAGAATAAGACATGATGCAAACAGTAAATTAATGAGAGACTTTACAAGAATTCAGAATATCAATGTGCACTTAATAAATTCAATAAAAAAATTTAATGTGTCATTTCACTTAGAGTGATGGCAAATAAAATTTAACCAGCTTAAATTACCCAGGTTCCGTAATATCACTGGCAATAATGTGTTCCCACATCGCTCCCATCACAGGTGCATCGGCCCTGAATAAATAAATCGATAGAAATGATTAAGCACTACAAAGGAAGCAGATTAAACAGCTTTACAAAACAGAGAGCCAAACAGAATAATAAACAATTGTGAACATTAATGAAAGGTGAAGAGGAAGAGTATGCAGAGGTAGACCAACGCAGATATTTATTAGCTCTAATCACGACTCTTTATTCATTCTTACACGTTGTCCAGTGCTACATCCCAATACAGGATAAATTCCCATAAGTGTGACATCACAGCTGCGTCCGCCCTGTTTATTGCAATCGTTACAATATTCTTTAATTATATTCCTCGGGACTGTCTTCGTCTCTTGGGATCGTTAATGGATGGAGTAATGGTGTTGATTTGGGTCGAGTAAAACTCAAAAAAAACTTATTAGAATGTCAGAACATTGAGAAGACTTTATCTTACCAAGAATGTTCAGCATTGAAACCAATTCGGCCATTACTGCCAACGCAAAGATTGAATGATTTGTCGAACCATCTGTCATAGCCTTTTCCATGGAGAAGGTCCTGACCATACTTATCCAGTTTTTCTGGATGCGCCTGTGCATAATTTAAATAAACGTTGCATGAAGAAATGAGATTTAAAATCTGTAGCGAAAGAAAACAGATAAAAATTTTGAAACAAAAACTTCTCTCTTGCATTACAATACAGAAAATTATTGCTCATTGAAATGAAGAAAAACTCCATGCATAATTCCTGAATGACAAATTATTGTTGAATTTATGTTGAGATCTCAGGGAAGAAATCAGGAAGGTTCTCATAAGTCGATGTGATCGATTTCGAAAGCAAATGCAACTCACCGGATCGAACTCGTAAGGATAATCGTCGAGGGCGACAAAGAATGCAGATTTTTCGATGAGATCCAATGAAATTCTATTGACCCCTTTAACAAAGTGGGTTTGCCTGGCTTGAGCCCACGAAGTTCTGTCAATAGCTGTCAGAGCCCCGAGTCTCTCCTCCCCCTTCTGCGGCTCACCCTTATGATCCAGAATATACTGAATCTGATGTTCAATCTCGCACGGAGTTAAAATTCTATTCTTGTAATAAATAAGAACTTTATAGTAACATCCCTTATGATAAACAACAACGTGCTTGGAATCGTTGTAATGAACAATTCTATCAGTCTCGAGACCGGGCACTCTGGTGGTATTAAAAAGTCTCTCGTACTGCCAGGAGCAGAGGGGCACAATTCCCTGGAGCATTATTGGCTCCAACTCCTGTCTCTCGATGGATCTGCGATACTGAAGACAACCGTATATAACGCTTGCAGCCCTTGCTGCCTGATTCCTAACAGATTGCGTCATAATAGCATCAATACCAAAAAAATTTGAATTAACCATAATGGGTGATCTTCCACGGAGATAAACGTACTCCTCCCACCAATCAGACACGTAATTTGTCGACCACCAAGACTTGAGAATTAGGTAACGCTGGAGTTTAACTGCTATTCCTTCTTCAAACTCTTTAGCAAGTTTCTCCATTCTTTTGTAGTTCTCATCGTCAAGAAGTGGCCTTGCACTTCTCAAGTACCTCTGCATGGTGTCCTTGACCGAGGGCAATGGTAATCTTGGCAGTGAACCTTGAAAACTGTAGAGCATTGGCTTCTGCCATCCTGACAGAAGTTTTACAGCCAGAACCCAGGCCCGAGTGGACAAACTGATTTTCTGTCCACGCCCTCTCGCCTCGTACATCCATCCCTTGTAAATGAGCAATAGCTTGAAAGTGTAACGAAGGGTGTAGATTGTTGTTATCCATAGAAGAAATCCCGCGACTATTGATCCCCCCAGGTGTACGGGTATCGACGACCCTTCGAGATACGGTGCGACCTTTCCCACAAGATCAAACGGTACTTTAAACCCCGCGAAATGAATAGCAGTTACTACAGCTATTGTCAACCACAGACTTCCCAAGGATGCTGGATATACACCACTTCGCAGATTATTCTGTAAAATAAGTAATTGTTTTCTAAATTACAAAAACTTTATAAAAACTTTAATATAAAACTTTAATAAAACAATTATAAGAGAATTTTTTTATTAAAGAGGTGTAGCTTAATCTTTTGGTGGAAAGAAATTATTTATTTCTAATAATAAGATTTTGTAGTATCTTTGACTCACGTGGAATCTGAAGAAACGTTTTTTCCACGATCTTAGACCAGACTGCCAAACTAGGTGAAGAACTTCTCGATCGAAATTCACATCCCAGCCCTCGTGGGTTATGGAAAAGCTGAAAGCAACAGCTGAATGGGCTTCTGCCATCCCTACTGCTTAATTACTCTGCGAAGAAGCAAAATAAATTGTTAAAACAGTGGTGATATTTATGCTGAGGGTATCAGGTTTTTTTTATCAACTTGGAGATTGCATAAATGGGGATGAAGCAACGAAGTTTCGAATTAAAACCCATCGCAACCAATCCGGTGAACAGTTGACCTTATTTAAACCCGTAATTGTTTTTGTGCTGTTGCATGTGTAATGTGAGGTCCAAGCATTTTCACGACTCGGTAAAATAACTACCAAGTGGCAATATCAATTCTTCAATAATAATTTCTCGAGTAATTTCACAGTCTCAGGAATGAAAAATAAAACTCACTCGTGAGTTTGTACAATTTTTAACAAAAATCGAATTATTATAAAAAATTATTCAAGGACAATTGGCATGAAAATACAATCAATATAAATGATTTCGACCAGATAATATTTTAATAGCTCAAAAGCTCAGTAACACATATGTATGATTGCTGCGAAATAATAATGACTTATTAATATTTGAATGAAAAATTCAAATCGTAATTCCGAACATATTGTAATTGCTGAAGAAATCTTGAGACACGGAAGAAAAATCGTAAAAGTGGAGAAAAAATAAACGCAAAACTTTACGAGATTTTTTACTTCGCGCTGAAGTCTTGGAGAAAGCTTATAAAGAGTATAGTAACTGCATTTCTTATGTATGAGTATATAAATACACACGACATGCACAAATGTGTGTAAAGGCGTCATGGACACAGGGAACCGACTGGTTGGACTTTGGACCCGAGTACGGCCAGCACAGCTGGTAGATACTCACAATTTATGTATTATCAATGTGTACTTTCCATCAAAATTATTCATTACCAGAGATTGTCCCTTCACCTGACCTCTCCATTCTCCACACTCAAGTCATTTTACCACCGAGATTTTTCCAAAAAAAATCAGCTTTTCCTATCACAGAGTTATCACCGATATTTTCTTATTTTTCAGATTTTTTCTACAAATGTCTGAGAAACAGTTTTTACTACAGTTTTTTTATACTTTATTACTATTCAATGTCTCACGAAATTTTATAACTGCAGAATAATTTTCTTGCTTTTGCAAAAATTCACAAAACTTCAGCATTATAGTTTTTTCGTTCCAATAAATTTACAAATAAAAAAAGCAGGAGGAGATATTGGCAATAACTCCGAAGTCAACTAGCCCAAGTCTGAACTTCTTTATTTACTACTAGTTAATTTATCTCCTTAATTATTTTCAATGCCAGTACCACAGTAGGAACAAAACAGCCTCCATTGACGCGTTCTGATTTATGACGTCTGGTCATTATCAACTCATTAGTCATCAATCGTCAGTTTCATGCAATTTATGGATCAGACGCGTAAGTTTTGTTTAATCAGTGTTTTTCGCGAATTCTTTGCGCGCTTGCGAGTACCACGTGGAGTCATTTGGACTTTGTACTGATGAAGTATGTGATTCTGATGGTTTCGAAGCCAGTCATTACATACCCAGTTGGCCTTCATGCACATTTATGCCTGACAACTTGCCACTACTACAATGTACTACCTCATAATTTTTATCTGCAAAAAGCACAAACAGAACTAGAAATTGTCAACAGAATGAATTGACTCATTACGATTCTTCGGGCAAAGAAATTTATTTTGATTGTGAATTTTCACGTTTTTATTCACGTTTTTACTCATTAGTTCTCCTTAATGACGACGTAAAATATCATTTCCACGTATAATTACGATGGAACGATAAATGGAAAAATACCCGATAATACTCATAAATATTTTGACAATTGCGCATAATCGATGTGGGTTAAATAAAATTCGGTATGTGTCACACTAATCAAATATCAGAGTGCAGTCTCATCGCTGATGTTTTATTTCCTCGACAGTCTAATTAAAAATGTCTGAGACAATGGTATGAATATTTACATTATTTAACATATTTGAGGTCACGATATCGTTTCCCTGGGTCTCTAGTCATTTCAATTCGAAGGGAGAAAAACATTCTCTTAGAATATTTGAACACATTTTACATCGTTGTGTGAAAATTAATTGATAAGGATTTAAGATATACTGAGGAAAACAGTCCCACCATAAAAAAGAAAAAAGAATATTTTATAAAGTATTGCTCCGCAAAGTTATTTATTTATATGCACCCACATATCAATATATTCCCCAAGTTTATTTTGGTTCTCGATCAAAGTATAATAGAAGAGAATAAAGAACTCGGATGTAATTGGCGCAAGGACAGTAAACATTGAACTATACAGTTTTAGTTACGTCGTGTCGATCGCAGATGACAAATTCACCAGAAAATCCTTTCACAGAGAATTTCAAGTCTGACATGTAAAATTTACTCGATTGCAATCGAGATTCCCTTGAAATAAATTATTGAAAAATTAACATCATGAGGTGTTTACGCAGTAAAAACTGTAGAGAAAACAGTAATTAATTATTTGAGTAGCTAAACAAATACGCCATGCAATTGACAGATTAGTTACACATAACGGACAATTGTTTTCATGTCATGAGTACGGGAAACCTGTTAAAAAAATCAACCCGATCAACAAGTGACTGAAAGAATTGAATGTATTAACACCTGTTGCATATGACCTAATAATCCACGTGATACGTAGTAGAAATACGTTCACTGGAGCTTTCTTTATGAGTTATTGCGATGTGCTTTCACAACTGAGAACAATGAATGATAAAGAGCAACAATGACTGATAAACGAGAAATGATTTGCGCCTAGAGTAGTCGGGATTGGTGGATATTTGGGGGTGTTTTCGAGACCAGGGCCAAGCCTCTGATATGATTTATCTCCCTCATTACGCAACTTACCACTAAATGGAATCCACAGACGATAAAAAAATCCGAGTTAATAATCCGTTAATAAAGCTCAAAGGTAAAAAAAAATACTCAACACCTTGAATAATCACGAAAACTCACCGAAACGAGTGATATTTGCCTCCAAAATTTGAAGCCCAAAAAATCGACAAGAAAATATCACTTCTTTTAGATTTTATGCACAGAATGAAAAAAATGCACAGAAATGATTAATCGAAGGAAAAACAGCCGAAAGTTATTTCGATTTTTTTGGGCATTTATTTAGTGATTGAGTAGCGTGAATACACAATAAAAGGAGCCAGCGAATACTGAAATCAACTGAAATCTCTCACTTGGAAAAAACGTTGTAAACTCAATGGAGAAAGAGAAGAAACTAACGGAGAAGTCGAAGTTACGTTGAGCCACTTCGCCGTTACTGTACTCCAATCGAAAAATTAACCGGATCCTCTCACTTCGGTAAAACGCGTGGGCGCGACTTTTTTATTTTCACTTCTATACGGATTAGAGAGATATATTGATAATGTCAGATATCAGTTAATATTTTTAATCAATTGACAACACGATCCAATCGAACACCGGTGTTATGAGGTTTTGAAAGGTTTTGACGAATAGTTTCGCACGAGAGTGAGATTTATTTCGAGGAAAAGCTGCTCGGAAAAGTACGGAAATGTTCGGTACGTAAATATGGAAGATGGCAACGATAGTTGGGGGGTAGATTCAGTAGAATTCTTGAGTATCTACCAGAATATTTTTTTCATGTGGTGGAGACATCTCTAGGGATTACCGATCATTCGAAAACTCCACCAATTTATTTTCTTGCATGTGCGATTTCAGTGTTGCTTCGCTAATTTTGTTGACTAAAAGACAATCAAGACAATTAACGTTTGAAACAGGTGGAGGATGATTTGGTGAGTGATTGTTGAATGGATTCTAGGGTGGAAGTTCCTGATGGAATGATTGACTGATCACTCGAGAGGACGCATTCGTATTTGAAGGGTTATGTTTATAACTGTTGCTCCAGTGCTCTTTCGTCGTCGATAATCCTCAGATTTAGTTGTTTGTGAATATTTTTTGAACGAGGTTTGATACTGGAATAATGGAGCCAGAGTATGATGAGGAAAGAGGTGGTTGGGGTGACGACATGGGACGAGGGGATGATCCAGGAGGTGATGATGCTCTGGATAATCCTCAGGAAGTTCTCAATCAATGTCTGGAAAAGTTCAAAACACCGGATTATATTATGGAGCCCGGAATCTTCACTCAGCTCAAAAGGTTAGCTCTCTGCATTGAAAAATATATTTAAAAATATTTCACATTCACTCGATTTATATGAGAACAATATGATGTTTTTTCATGGCCATTGAGTGGTTGTTCAACATTTTGCATCTTCAAAGTCGAGAAACTCCAGGGCCATGCTTTTTATATATTTTTCCATGGGGGTCGTTGTAGTATTTTAATGGGTCTGGCTACTTTGGACTTTAAACTCAGGTCCAGAGTCCTGCGTCTATGCAAAGATGACCAGGTAGAAAATAATAATTAATGTTCCTTCCCGTTTTTCATTAAAAAGTATACGACGTCTTTGTCACGGTTTTTGATGATATAGTTCGCATACTCTGATTATTGTATAGTTATGATAATATATGGAAAGATTCTAGACAGGTCTCTGAGGACATGATAATTTTTTGTTTCAATTTCCATATTTATCTGTGTCTGCGTTTTTATCTTCTGCAAGGCAAAGATATTTTTTAAAAAAATATTTCAGAAATCATTCCGGTATCATAATTGAATTTTCGGATTCACTTTCCAGATATTTCCAAGCAGGAGGCAACCCAGAGACGGTAATCGAGCTTCTCTCTAAGAATTATACAGCATGTGCCCAAATGGCGAACCTCCTAGCAGAATGGCTGATCCTGGCAGGCGTCAAAGTGACGGACGTCCAGGCAATGGTTGAAAATAATTTAAAAGACATGATCCTGAAGACATTCGATCCAAAGAAAGCCGACAAGATCTTCACAGAGGAGGGAGAGACTCCAGCTTGGCTCACAGAAATGATTCAACACCCAACCTGGCGTTCCCTGATCTATCGCCTCGCTGAGGAGTACCCAGACTGTCTCATGCTTAATTTCACCATAAAACTCATCTCCGACGCTGGATTCCAGGGTGAGATAACGAGCATATCGACAGCGGCTCAGCAAATAGAGGTGTTCTCACGAGTCCTGAAAACAGCAATCGCTGGATTCCTCCAAAACACTGAGGACTGGCAGACGAGTATCAAAGAGTGCGCCAAGATGGTGTGCCATGGGCAACACACTTACGTTTACAGTCAAGTACTGCTGCAAATTTTGGCGCAGGAGTCGAGGGGTGGATTTATGATGAAGAGGCTCTCCCAAGAGATAACAAAATGCGCCCAGCAGAATAGGCACGATGTGACACCCATCACGATGGCCTTGAATGGAGCTGCCAGTAGTCCAGCTGCCTGTCAAGCCCTCGCATCAATGTTATCAAGAAACAACCTCAATCCAGCTGACATCACGGTTCTCTTCAGACATTATTCATCAGCAGAACCACCACCCATCGAACTAGTGCGAAATCCCCAGTTTCTCGAGCTCCTCGTTGACTCTCTCTTCAAGTCGGGCGTTAAGCTTAACCCCGAGCACAAGTCCAAGTATATTTATCTCTTGGCGTACGCTGCGAGTGTCTGTGAGACTCTCCCGAGAAAGGGAAGCTCCAGGAAATTGAATAAAGACGAGTTGAAGACAACCATTCAAGCCATCGAAAAGGTTCACAACATCTGTAATATCAATAAAGGCTCCACCGAACTCGTAGCTGAACTGAATACTCTTTATCAGTGCATTAGATTTCCAGTGGTATCTGTTGGAATCATCCGGTGGGTTGAGTGCACTGTCACTGAGCCCTCGTACTTCAAACTCAGTACGGAACACTGTCCCATTCATCTCGCTTTGCTCGACGAAGTCGTCGCCTGTCACAATCTCCTCCATCCCAAAGTCCTACAGCTACTGGTGCAGCTCTTTGAGAGTAAACAGGATGAATTGGAAATTCTTGTGCAGCTCGAGATGAAGAAAATGTTAATTGACAGAATGGTGAACCTTCTGAGTCGAGGCTGCGTTGTTCCGGTTGTTTGTTATATTAAACAATGTTGGCAGAGGGGAGACACTGATATTTCTTTAATACGGTATATCCTAACGTTTTTTAATTAATAGATTTTATGTTGCAGTTAAACGAAGTCTAATGGAATTTATACTATTTTCTTCTTTATAATTCTCTTTTTTTCTGATTTCCTTTGTTATTTAATTATTATAGATATTTTGTTACTGAAGTACTCGAAGCAATAGCTCCACCATACAGTCTGGAATTCGTGCAACTATTTCTCCCAATGGTCGAGAATGAGGAAATCACTGGAACAATGAGGGGAGACAGCGACAATGATCTTGTTTCAGAATTCATAAGTGAGTTTGACACTTTAACTAATTCATTTTATTTATAACAATTCTTTTTACATGACTTCAAAGATGTTCTTACTGTCTGTTACAGTTCACTGCAAAGCCCATTGTCCTGTTGTGAGATGACGATTTAAGGATTGAATTTATGTAGTGTTTTTGATGGAGAGTAATTCTACGGTCTTGGAGTGGTGGTAGATTATGTGGTCTCTGTAACATACGATAATTTTGTGTGAGAAACGCGCATTTGAGAGCAGATGACGTAGTGACATATATTGAAAATTCTTAGTTAATGTTCAAACTTTACACTTTTCAATCACAATCGTCAATCAATAATGGTTATCGTTAGTTTAATACCCTCAATACTGGGAAATTACGTTTATTATTAGAGTTGCATTGAACACAATTTGGGGAATGAATCTGGGATGCAATGACTTACAATCATCGACGTTTGTTTTTATTGTCTGTCAGCTGTAAATAATTAAAGTAATCAAGTGAATGACATCGAAATCATCATCGAAGTATAATTTATCATCTTTTTTATATCTAGATAGGTCAATAAAATTACTGACAATCGGAAGAATTTTAATTTTTCTCGTATCATTTTCCTCTAGGACCACTTGGGAAATAATTCAATATTAATAAACGATTAGAGAAACAATTCTCCTTTCTTCTGTTTCTCTCTTTTCATCTCTCAACCAATTTCTACATTTTCTTAATTTCATATTAATTCTCTAACTTACTGATTGGCTTTCCATCCTTCCATGACGTAAACTTAACATTTGATTCCTCTCGTTTGGCAGCAGAAGCCTTAAATTCGGCCTTGAGTGCCTGGCGAACGAGTTTTGCAGCAATTTGCGAGTAGTTGATATAACTAAAAAATATAATTTAAATAAAATGATCAAAACCGGCCACAAGAAATGAAGAATTTGAAAAAAACAAAAACCAATGTATCTGAATGATAGGTTACATAATTCCCCGAGGACAATTGTACTTATAAAATAATTAATTCTCCGTGTACAATCGAAATCCAATGGATTAAAGAATAATTACATACTTGAGTCCAGCTTGTCTCCACGCCGACATTTTCCTTTCGTTTTATTTGTCCCTTTTTTTGACTATCGAAAATGAATTGGGAATGGAAAGACTTGCAGTAATGATTCTCTGTCTCGCGCATGCGTCGATTTTCTTATCGTCCACTTCCGCCTCCGTCTCGTGCTGCCACCATATTCCCAATTAATTTGAATTGAAATCCACTGTTTTATCGATTTCCATTCAAATTCACTGGTCGATGTGAGTATCGAATACAAATGATCGATTATAAATATTTTTACCAAAGCTGTTCATACAATGACATCGAGACAATAGGTGTTTGTAAACAAGTATTTGTCCCTCACTGAGTTCTTATGATAAATCTAAGGACAAGTGTGCAATAAGAATTGATAATAATTTCAATTTTGGAAATTCCCGGAGTTTTGGGGATCATTAATGCCCAAGGTCACTATTCCAAGGCGAATATTTCCTTCTTGCATCGAATTTTTTGGATGATCGTTAAATATTTAATATTTGGTGTATAAATATTAACGCAATGACTTACAAACGAGACGGAAAAATAAGGATAAATTGTCGAGCGAGAGTTCAATTCATTTGTGAAATTCAATGAGTGATGAAAGAATTTCGGAGTGCTTTGTGAATTATTTAATGAGTTGAGCATATAATGATTGATGAAATAATAAATGTGGTGATGGTTTGAGGGAACAATTCAGTGAAATGTAGTAGATTCATTTTCTTGTGACCAAAAATGGTTGTTTTTATCGAATTACATCTAAACCCATAAAAAAATATTTTTCAAGTAAGTATCTACTTTATTTAATTCCACTATATTAATTTTTCATAACTATTGAGAAGTGACAGAATATTTTTCCAATTTTGATATACAAAATATAATAATTAGTTGTTTGAAATAAATTTATTCAGCTCAATATTGAGCACTAATTGCATGCATTTGCGACTATTCAGTAATTTCACTTGTTAGTTTGAAAACATTTTTTTTTACCTTACAAAATTTTTTTCTCAGTGCAGGGATCTCCAAGTAGGCCATGGTTGCTTCTTCATCGTTAAGTCTGGTACATCGCACTCTGTTTCTTTTTTTTTTCAACTTTTTTTCTCGTCTTCTTTGGATTTTTATAGAGGACGCAGATCTATATTGCGTAACGATCGGTACGAGTTACAAATACTTTATAGTGCTTTGACTCAATATTCACGGGGTAACACGGCCAGGATTCGTGATCAATTGGTTTTCGAAGGAAATTTAGGTGGATGGAAATTTCCGTTTTTTGGAGGACACCGAAGACCGTTATTCAGGTTCTTTCAATTCAGGTACGATTAGTCTATTTTCTAGAATTATTCAGATTATCAATACCTTCGATACTTTTATTTATTCGAATTTTTGTTTAATTAGTTTTTTATATAGATATTGATTTATTCTGGAGAACAATTCAGGCTTTCAATATCGCAATTGTTCAATCGAGTCATCATCCCAGGGAATTTCCATTAGTCGTCGGTTATGACAGTTATAATTGCCGTCTTGAATTTTTCAGTAATTATTAATGCTAGAAATAAAATACAAAATTTTCCAAAATTTTGAATTCATTTTTCAGTGATTTTCAAGACAACCCCAGAGAGAGGAAAAATATCAATATTTTTTCCAGGATTTTGTGATAAGCTACACAAAATATTACCCGACATTTAATTACCAAAATTATCAAATTGCCGTCATCTAGACTGGTCACAAATTTAGCTAATAGCTTTTCACAAAAACTTCAGCGCTGTACCCATAAATCTATTTTAACAAAGCGTAAAAAGGTGATAACTCCGAGCTGATAATGGATATTGTTTCTATTTTTGGAAAGAATAACCGCGCACTAGTTCCACTAGTTATTATCCATCATGTCTCTAATCTCATTTTAACCGAATGATTCCTCTCTGTCGTGAAAATATTTTTTGAATATTGAAAGAAAAATTAATCCTATGATGAATTACCATGCCCAAATGTTTACCAAAAAATCCGATTAAAAATTGCACACGATTCATTAAAAATCCTCTTTTTTATCAAAGCCCTGGAGCCTTGAATTTATTCAATAATCAAATATACACTAATTCATTAACAAAGACTCAGCAAGAGACAAAAAATAGCAAACAACTGTAATTACGAATTTATGATGTGAAAGGAAGGTATCTCCTCACTTACGTCAGTTTTATTATAATTGAACAGAAAAATTACGCAACTTTTACATTATCTATTACAGGGTTGACAATAACAAATTGCTCCTACTTAGAATCGAAAGAGTGCATCTCCCACTTATCCTTTCACATCATCACAGCTAAAATTATTAAATTCCATTATCCAAACTCGGAACGAGAATCCCCATGATTTCAAGATTTATTTCATACGATTTACCAAATATCTCGTAATTGAAAGGAGATAGCACTTTTTCTGGTTAAATATTATCCCTAGAAAAAAATGAGCTCTACACAGAAGATCCTTACAAAAAAATCAATATTATGGTTCAGTCTCGAGGTATTCGGGATAAACTCATCTCGTCTTATTATGTTGCCAACTGCTAGTTCTTTCTTATTTATTTATTATTCATAATTATAATTAAAATCCTGAAATCTGTACTTAAGATTTATTTACATTGCTTTCGCAACTCGATTCATACTATGTACATTTTCATTTATTCGTTAAATACTCGAGGATTTGATAAGAACGATTTAAAAATCTCTCTTTCTCTCACATTCGCTTGAATAATTACAAATTTCTTCAATGTACCTCTAGTTCACTCGGAAATTTCGCGGTTTAACTCGGAAATTTCGCGGTTTAGCTCGGAAATTTCTCAATAGACGTGGGAAATATTCGGTCAAGTGCGTATATGGGTTTACGATTTGTGAGAGGCCTTAACCCAACGATTTAGTATCCATCGATGTATATCTCTGTACCCTTGAGTATTGGCTATCGAGTATGCAAGTGCACGAAGGTGTCGGTGCTAAAGAGAAGCGCCGGTGGGAATAATATATGAAGTGATAAAAAAACACATGCATTGCAAGTGTCAACTAATGGAAGAAGGTATCTAACAGAAGCTAATGGTCTTAACAAATCAGCCTCAAGACATTGTCCAAGAATTTTCCAGATACTGCTGTTCGCGGAATCGTCTTCTTCCCCCGGCAGAAAGAAGTAAAGGTAGAAAACGAACAAACTCATGAGTTACATCTTCTCGTCCTCTTCCATCTTGCCGAACCACTAATTTTCCAAACAGAAGATTATTCTTTCCGCACGGATGTGTGACAAAAGATAATTTCCTACTTTTGTGCATCGGCTTGCAAAAAGCTGCAAAAAATCAGAGAGGAAAAAATAATGAGTAAAACAAATTGAATTGTCTTCCTGGCATTTGCATCTCCGGTATTTCCGCTAGTTCAGAAGAATATTCATCTACACTTCCGGTCGAATGCATTGACATTCATTCATTAATTTCGTTGGATTATCATAATGTCTGAATGAACTGCGTGACAGATGATTTTATTCATTTTGTATTTTTTTTTTCGTCCATTTGTTGAATTTTTTGGTGTATACGTTTTAGGATTATTATAAGTATCCAGATCAAATCGCACTTCCTCAAGGCGTGAATCAGTCTCAGGCTCTTATCTTAATTGCACAGTTATCCGCCAGCCACAGCATGTACATTAAACCAAGGAGTGTACAAACCGTGTATTTTTCTTCAGTATTATTCATTCGATCCGTTGTTTTTCCTTCTGGCCGAGGTCAGACGAATCCCCTGCAAAGCCACTGGAAATCTTTCCGAGACGAGTAGATAATTGGGACTGCCTGGATATCGTGTTTGTCCAAATTATTGACGTGTCAGTAATTCATGTAAACCCACGCTTTCCCATGAATCTTACGAGTTTACACCATTTTCTTGGCATTGGGTTTGTTGTTAACAAGATGGTGTTAACGCAGTGTCAAGCTTGACAAATGGAATTGCAGGAGTGATGATTTACCGGGATTTAAACACCGGGGAAACATGAGTGGAAAAATTGATTCTTATAACTGTCAAGTGTCAAGTATTCAATTACTCGACTCTTTGAATCCTTTCTTTACGACTTTTTCCGAACGACTGTTGCCAATCAAACTTTAAACATTTTGGAAATTAATTGAGGATTTCATTAATGAATCCATATTGTCACTGATTCATTTAAAAATTCATTTAAAAAAATGAGTACGTGTATGACGTTACGACGAAGGTCGAGGCAGATTGTATTATAGTATCTCATTATCTGATTGGGATTTTTGAATCTGGGTTTGGCGTCATAAGAGATGCCATCACTGGGGATGAGTTACTGGTGATAAATCATGAGAGTCGAGACAAACGCATATGCAAATAGAACGTGGCTGTTGCTCCCAGCTACAAACGAGTAGTAATTGTGTACTCAATATTCTCCACAGTAATCAACAAAATGAAATGACAGGGATTAACAAAGTATTGTGATTGATTTAGAGAGAAGATTCACTCTAGTTTGCTGAGTGATGTTATGCCTATTGGTGCTGACTTGTTTGTCTCTCAGTAGCTAATCGCCTGGAATTTTATTTCGGCTACAAAACAATGAAATTCTACTTTCTATGGTTTCGACCAGATTACACCGGAAAAATCCAAATTCATTGGCGTCGAGGAAAAAGATCATGGAGGAGTGGTTTAATTGCATCAATGAGCATTCGGGTTTGAACTGGATCCTCCAGTGGTCGGTCAATCCCTCCAATTAAATTTATTCTGCAATAGCACATCCATATGACTCATTACCCAACAATTCAGGATATTCTCCAAACCCAGGGCAATAAATATGGGTTTTATAGATTTTGGACTCCAACCGAGTTCCTTCGCTCCCGGAAAAAAAGTTTTTTTCTTAACTATTGTCTATTTACATCGGGAAATTTTTTCACGGGGAATTATCAAGTGAATTATTTACCGCGGTGTATGACGTCAGAAAAATATTATGTACATCTCCTGTGAGTGTGTACCCCACGCAATGGATAGATGAATTTCTTTTTATTGTGACACTGAGAAAAAAAGAAGGCGTACCTGATCGTTGGGTTGTAGAACAGTATTTGAGTTGTTGGATAGTAAACAATGACGGCAATTTGAAAATTCTGAGAAATGTTGATAATTAAGAAGTTTGAGCCAGTCGGAATGCACTTGTTTCAAACAAGATTAAAATTCCCTGACACCATAAGATAGTAGGTCAAATATAGGTGATAAGCTCACATTTTAGAGCACTCAGCCATTTTTTTTATATCTCGGAAATTTATAAGATGAAACCGTTTTTTGTTTTGACTCTCGAATCTCTTAGATGCTCTCGAAATCCGGAGTAAAGAATATATTATATATTGATATATTATTGCTATATCATGGACTGTCAAATATTGGCAGAACCCTTGGAATGGAAAGCTCGATGTGTCACCCTTTAATGATTTTCACATAATTTTAATAATGAATTATAATAATTATTTGAATAATTTTCAATGTCGGTCTTCAAATAAAATCTATTCTTCTATTTCTCAATGTGTGATTTTTAGCAATAAGTTGCAGTGAATGATGATTACTTGAAGTCATGCAATTTCTAAGGAAGAGAATGATAGCAAAACGTGCGGTTTTTTTTTAAAGATCGAATGAATTATAATAATTATTTGCATAATTTTCAATGTCGATATTCAAATAAAATCTATTCTTCCATTTCCCAATGTGTGATTTTTAGCAATAAGTTGGAGTGAATGATTACTTGAAGTCATGCAATTTGTAAGGAAGAGAATGGTAGCAACACGTGCGATTTTTTTTTTTAAAGATCGACTGGTGGATGCCAACGGGTGTTTTTACGATTTGTTTGACAATGACGATGGGGGAATTAGACTGGCTGTCATGATGACGGCGATGTCCCCGGTATCGCGATAATTAAACAATCGTAAACAGCGAATCGTTAAACGAACTCGTCTTTTTTTATAAGTCAAAATTATTATTCAGACGAGAAGATAACTGCTGAAGAAATTACTTTTAATTGCAAAAAGCACAATAATTATAATTTTTTTTATTGTCTCAATGGATTCGTGGAATGCCTTCGTCATTTGACGGAAGAAATCCTGAGGATAAATCTCTATGATTATCAATTTGCTCTAGGGATTACCAAATAATTAAATCCTAAATTGTTGAAGCTGCAGTTAATGAAATTATAATGCACAGTACCCCATTGTCAGTCAATTTGGTACGTGCTTCGCAAGGCCTAGACGACTTTCTGATCGTATTGGTTAATCGTTAATGTACGGTATCGAACTTTCCTTCGAGTACATGATGTCTCGTTGTGCATTGAAGACGACTCGACGTACGACATCGAATGCCTGGATTTTTGCCAAGTTCCAAGGACATGGAATTTCCACTCTAGTGGAATCTTCCAGTTCCTTCAATTTCCCAGAACCACGGAATTATTCCTACCAGTGGTCTTATTGTTAGACTATTACAAAGATCGTCAGTATTTTTTGAATGCTGAACCTCAAAATTTTGCGCAATTATGATAAATAGCTCTTCCATTTCAGATAATAAAGCGCTTTTTTTTTCGATTAGAACGTGAAATGCAGTGATGTTTTTCCAGGGCGAGACAATCTCGAAGAATACGAACGTGAGAGAAATGAAAATATCAGTTAGAGATAGGAAATTTTACGTGGCTTTTTAAATAGTTGAATCAGCCGATTTCATGAAAAATGAGGGCCTGTGATTGTGATATCTCCTTGAATTTTTAACTTGAAGAGACTAATGATTTTTTTTCCAAAATGACACGAGGTGGTTTCATCACAGAAAAAATTTCCTGATATTATGATTAAATTTTCTCAATATTGTTGAAAAATGTTTTTAAATTTACTCGATACATGCTTATTGTTTTTGATTGATCAGAAAAATGGAACAGTTGAAATTTTTCGTTAGATCTCGAATGAGTTTACTGAAATAAATGTTTGTTTAACGCGATGAAAATTGTTTTCCCGGTGATTGCTCTTAGAGATAGCGATGCTTCCTTCTCATCGTGAATTTGAAAACCGTGGGGTTTTGTAGCCCCCGATAAGACGAAAACCGGTATAGTTAATGCATTCAGTGGTTCACGAATAGCCGAGGAACCCGATATGAAATTATCTTGACTGAACCCTGACGTCATAAGCACCCAGAGTACTTTCCGTATTCCTGGAAAGGACCAAAAAAGGAGAAAGATAAAAGAAAGGTAAAAGTATAATTTTCGGGTGAACGTTTCCAATTTTTTGAAATGCTTTCGAAAAAAATTCCACCCAAATTTTCTTACCAAAAAAAATTCCACCAGAATTTTTTACCAAAAAAAATCTACCAGAATTTCCTTACCAAAAAAAATTCCACCAGAATTTCCTTACCAAAAAAAAGCTACCAGAATTTTCTTACCAAAAAAAATCTACCAGAATTTCCTTACCAAGAAAAATTCCAACAGAATTTCTTTACCAAAAAAAATTCCGGAATTGACTCCGAATTTTTACTCTGACCCAACAGTCTGTGGTAAAAATTCCCATTTTAAGAAATTTGGAAATAAAAAATAATGAATAAATAAATAATAATGATAAAAAAAATATCGCAATCTCTTCAGAATCCCCGGGATTTTCTCAATGTCAAGGTAAAAATTCCTCGGAGGCCAGTGGTCATAGCAGTGAATTTTTCTCGGCGTAAATTTCCTGCAACTCCTAGAATTTCCACGATCAATGACACTAATGATAATTGCCATTAATATATTCCTCTCGTAAAATGAGCAACGACATTGTACACCGGGATTGAGTCACCCAACGAGCATAAATAAAAAATGTAAACAAAGAAAAATTCAAATGAGATGAAAAAAAGGCGAGGGAACGGCCTTTTCCGAGTCGTATGAATATTTAACGAGTTAAATCTCAACAGTATCAATAATTATCAGGACAAGGTAAGTGAAGAGAAATGAGCATTGTCATGAATTGCTCTTTGCGTGTCTTCATTTATCAAAATTGATTACTCACGTATGGGATTTTTCGATAATCGCGAATTACGACATGTCGTCTCATCTTCCGTGTGCGCATAACTTTCACTATCGACAAGTCCAAGAAATCATTAACGGTGATTTACCGAAAAAAATCAAACGGAGAGAATAAATTAATGAAGGGAATACACGAGTTGGATAATAAAACCTGTGCAAATTGGAGCAGTCTCATCACATATTTATTTATTCTCACCTCATTTGTTGTATTACGCAACAGCACGTGATGTCGCGTGAAGTCTCAAAATTTTCTCTCATCCCTTGAAAAATTTTGATTAAAAATATTCCAATTAATTTCAATTCAGTTTTTTTCTTTTTGATAATTAATTCAAATTCGCTGTAATTTCCCCCTAAAAACGGTAAAATTACCCTTAATTCCACACAATTCGATTTAAATTTCCACGAAGCCATGACGAGCTTTCAGTCAGAATAAAAATAATTTAATCTTAAAGATCTCGATGTAATTGATTTTTTCTGCGATTTTCAAGTGAATCTATCTATCAATCAATTTCTATTATTTAGGAATTATTTTGCGCCAATTTTCTATAGAAATAAAAAATTCGTCTGAGGAAGATGAAAGATGCAGGGGACGCGGTTCTACCGATTGTTCAAACCTCGGAGAAGGACGACGGGCACTGGAGGGTTGACCTTGGTCACGGAAAACCGGAACCCCGTAGCCGATACGATGATCCGACCTCCATCGTAATAGAAAGGAAATAAATAAAAAAAAAATGAATATGGTTTCTGAAATGAGCGACAGGTTGAAATGGCAACTGGAGGGATATCCCCTGCACAATCCGTAAATCAGTTGACGATTGGCCAGCATCCAGGATCCTTCCAACTCCGGAGCGCGGCAGAATTCGTCTCTCATTTTTATTAATTTTCGTAAATCAATTAAACAAATTCAAACCCTTCCATCTACCATTGTGCTCTCTCAGTAAGGATATCCCGATTTTCATCAGGTATTTCACAACGATCGATAAAATTTATATTAACAATTCATGACAATTCATTTATTAATTCATAATTACATTAATTTATTCATCTACTTATTCGGTACTGCATTGTAATACGTGGAGGCGTGGAATCGGTGAGTGGAAATAATTTTTTTGTTGCAAATAAAATAATATGTGAAGTATATTAACAATTTATGTTAATTATCATATAATAATTTGAAGACTAGTAAACGGTACGTGGAACGATGAAATTGAAATTTTGATATAGATGATAATTCGCACGAAAATTAATAACAAATTTAAAAGAAATTAGAATCTGGAAATAGAAATAAAAATCATTACGTGTGTTATTAATTGACGAATTGATTTTATCGACTGCCTAGCTAATCTACATGACCCAATGAAAATTTCACCTTGAGGCTAAATGAATTCAAAATATAAATACTAACATCCGAGAAGCTGATATTATCTTTCGATCTCTGATTTCATATAATTATTTATCTGCTCCATTCATGATCTTCAATTCTCCAGATGAAATTTCAGATTTCCTTTCATTCGAAATATATTCCCTCCCAAATTAATCATGAAATCAATCAACCATTTCTAATACCCCAGTCTCCAACTATCTCCCCAAAACAATAACCCCAAATAATTACCAATAATGATTAATCATTGCAATAACAGCAATTGTTTCTTTAAAAATTGACGAAAAAATAAAAATCCGTTGCTACCCAATAATGAATACCTGAAAAATTTCACGAGAGCACAATAAAAAAACCTAGATAATTCCAGACCTAGTGATTTACCCCAATATAGAATGGATGCTCGAGTAATTAAAATCTGTGTATAATTGTCATTGAAACCCGCTGATGCCTCGTTGCGCGACATTGTGTACACAACAATCTCTAAGCTGTCTTCATTGGTGTGGAAAAAAAAGGAGAAAAAAGAGAATTTCAGAATAAAAAAAAAAGCAAAGAGAATCTAAAAGGTGGGGGGAAAAGTTGACAGTATAGGAGGTATAGGAGAAACAAGCGGAGTACAGTAGACTTTGAGTTGTACACTTGGCAAAGCTTGTTCCTATCCAAAGGAATATCGTCAGTGGCACAAACTCACGGGCAAACAGTACCGATCCAAAGACCGTTGGACTGTTCAGTTGTCTCCGAACCCCCGAACTGTTCGGACGTTTACGTGATTACGTCGTGATAATAAATCCCCGAAATCTCACTAGAAGATATCACCCCAATTGTGAAATACAACGTGAACATTAATTTTTAGTTAATTTTAATCAAGCCAAGAGACGACAGTAGCCCGAGGGGTGGAAATATAATTTACTCATTCCGTTGGACTCGTCAGCAGACAATCAGCAAAAACGTGAGTAACAAGAGAGAGAACCGAATTTGTTGTTCAAATATTTGTGGTTCGATCTTCTAGTATCGATTATCGATGGTTTAAACGTCGATGGATTAGATCAACCCTCGGGCAATTACTCCCTAGCTCTGAACAATGGATCGGCACTTGTTCTCCCGGCATTAGTCGGTCGATCGGTCTGTGGAACAGGATCGACCTGCAGATCGATAATTCATCCACACCCGCCGATTTCCTCGAGGACGGGCGATAAGACGATATAATAGGAAAATAATACTCATGAAATAGCGTGTTTAAAAGGCTTTTGTCGCGGTTTAAATTGAGGGTGCTAATGAGTTTAACTGGTGGGGTTGATTGAGTCCACGTAGGTTCAGGTGGTTTATATTTAGATTTCAAATGAGGTATGTAAAAAGTGTCGATGGTAATACGTGTGAGAGTAGATGATTACTCGGGTTGAAAGAAACGTTAGGATAACTCGTTTTATCGTCTAATGATTGGTCTTCTCGATGCGCAAACCTCATATTTCCTTTTGTTGGATATTTATAGGTTTTAGAATCGAGAGGGATTTTCGAAAAAGGTGTTACGAGAACCACTCAGCTTGGAAACACGAGTCTATATAACGTTCACAAACGTTCTTTGACACACTTCCCACTTGACTACGGAATGCTACGATCATTGCCACGGGTGGTTGGATATAACGTATTTTAATGCCTTTACTTGGTATTCCTGACTTGTACTCTCGATTATTTTTCCTTGGAGATTATTCCATTATCATATCGATTTTTAATTCTTCCATTTGTATTCTATCAAACTGCCATTATTCTATTTTTCATCGAACTCCTATCTTCCGTCAATTATCTTCATTCCCTTCATCAATTTTTCTCTGTGAAAATTACTTACCCTGGAAATTAATCCCTCGATCCTCGACGTTTTTAGAATTTCTGGAAAATGGCGGAGCTGGGGATAATAACCATTTAAAGTCCTTCGTTTTGCAATCTCGCGATTAAAAAATGTGATAAATAAAAAATTAGAATGCTTTTTTTTTCTTATTTTCGCGCGCGTGTATGTGTTGTGAAATGAAGTGTTGCAGATTGGACGAGAGACGAGAGGTTGAAAATACGTGTGTACTAATACTGAGAGGGGACAGTAATATAAATCACGATCCTTTCGAGACTTTCTAAAGCTAGAACCAATATGTATAAGGCGATTATCGTACAAAATACGTGGATACGCATACGGAAAATTTTTACGCGGTTTGCAATAATCATTTCAAAATTTCCCAGTTGAAGACCAATAATTAAGACACCAATAATTCGCGAATAATTTCACAAATAATTTCGCGAATAATTTCGCGAATAATTTCGCGAATAATTTCACGAATGTTCGATATATTCGAAGATGGTTTTTATTCGCTTCGTGGTGATTGACTGGAAAACCAAAGAATATTTATTTTTATCCCTTATCACATGTCGTGAATCCTGAATGTCAAGTTTTTCCTAATCACCATAAAAATCGGTCGTTTTCGTGACAATTTACCTTGCCATTGCCCGTATTTTCCATCCTTATTACTCGTTTGATTGTTCCAAGATATGACTCATGCGAAACAAATGGAAATAAACCTAACACGATTACTCAAGTTTACGATAATTTTCGATTTCCTCAGTTACCCAAACGCTTGTTATTATGCAATGAACAAATCAATAATGCGTTGGACAGGTCAAATAACTGCTGACAGTGCGTTAAAACACAGTACACACATTTTTTTTTTCTTCCTTTTGTTTTCTTCGTATCGGACAAGTTGCATTGGTGTTAAAAAAAAAAACGTAGCTCGAGTCGACGTGTGCGGAGACAAGCTGGCAGGCGGCAAGTGTCGTTGTACGCACGTACACGTGTATCTGTTATTCACGAGTGGCATTTTAAAATCAGTGTAACACGCGTCAGGAAGAGTTGAAAAATTTCCCTTAATTCTATTCTCAATATTCTCAAACCTTAAAGTGTCTCCTTTTTTTTTCTATTTTCGTATTTTGTAGTATATTTGTATATATTCTAATTATTTTCAAAAAGAGAATTGCCCACAGAGCGAAAAATTCTTAAAGAAAAACTTTTTCTCTGCGGATTGAAATAAATTAGCATTCCCCGGGTGCGGATTATAATAATTTTTTTTAGGCAAAACCTTCATAAATATTGATAACTCTCCCGACGCTGATACTAATATATTTATTCAACCTTTATGTTCATATTTGCATAAGAATGCAAGTGACACTGTTACCGCTAATCGAAGTGTCGGCACACCTCTCTCGGTATACGGAGATAAATAAGGGAAAAAATAATGAGACGTTATTTTTCTAATCGATCTATCTCGACTATTATATTACGCTGTAAGGAGAGATTGAAGAGAAATGATGAAAAAATATCGATCAAGTGCACAGCACTAGTACTTCGAAGTCGACAACTACGGGTTAATGACTTGCATGATGTAACATGAGACAGAGGAATTGCTTTCACGTGCTCGGAAGATCAAGATTCTCGGGATCCTCCCTTCTGCCATTTATTTCACACTAAATAATCAACATCAATTTCAATTGACGCACGACGAGTCAAGTAAAACTTAATATTTATTTATTGGGGAAAATTTTCGCGGATTGATTAGTTTGTCGCGATATTAGATTGACATTGTTTCATTTTTTTTCCTTGTCAATAGAGTTTGAGGATAATTATTCATTTTTTAAACACCTTTTCAATCATTTCGGCTCGTTAAATCCTCCACAACCTGCAGACAAATAAAAATTAACAATTACCACAGATTAAAAGATCCACCATTACCGGTCAATTTAAAAGTTTTTTACAATTATTGGAACACGAAGAAAATCGTAAAAATTATCTGTTCTCCTAATTCTTAGTAATTTCTACAGAAATAGAATGAAAAATAATTTCTCAACCGAGAAGTCATCAGTCTCGAAGATATTCGGTGTCATTATTGATTGTCAAATGTTTTTTTTTGAATAAAATCCTCGTTGAGTCACTAATTAGCTCCTCGGGAATAGAATTTACAATAATTTCTGCGTAATAAAAATCCGCTATTCCATAATGATTAATTGCTAAACGTTTCCTCAAGCCATGGGGATAGTCGTAACAAGTCGCTAAAACGATTCCTCGAATACCTAATGATTTCCCGGGAATTAATATCCAAAAAAAAAAATCTCACGACCATCATCAGCTGCTACATCACATTTGTTTATATATTATTTCCCCTCCTGAGATTAATGGTCCAAGGATTACATACGTTCTTCTTCGAATTCGAAGGATCGTCCTTCACCCGGTATCAAGTTATTTCGCATTAATGACTTTCGGATTGGGTAATCCTGGGCAATAAAATAATTCATTGAAAGATCCTTCTAAAAAATTATCACTAGGAACATTTTGAATAAAATTATCAAAGGATTTGATAATTTTGTATTCACAAACAACAAATCGATTTTTAAAATAATTTATCCGTTCTTTGCAATTACTTCCAACGATTTAATCCAACGGAAATCAATGGTTCCCACAATTTTGTTATTTAAAATTTTTCATTAATTTACATAAAAACGAGAGAAATAGTAATTTCATCGGGTGATTACGTCATGATTACTTCTAAGGTTTTTTATTCGTGCAGCAGGGCGAGACAAATTATTCAATTGAGATAAGATTTTTCATTCTCGTTCACCTCGTTGTATAAAAATGTGTAATTAATTTATAAGCGATACTCGGAGGCTGAATGGTGCTGTGACAAGTGTTTTCCATGTATAGTAAACTATCGGGTAGTTAGTGAGTACTTGTTTTCAAGTCCTTGAACTTTTGTCGCAGCAATTTCTGGCCTATACACGTGAGCTATTGGTCAATTTTTTGTTTCGCCAAGTCCATTTGCAATCAATGTCCACGACTGATTCATTCACATTCAATTAGAATATTGCTGGGTACTACAGATTAATATTTTTTGTGGAATTGATCATTCATTGATCATAATTGCATTTTTTTTTATTGATGCAAGTCGACTGAGAAAAGCCAACGCTTAGCGAATTGAATTGGCAATTGGCAATTGGCAGGGAATTGATTAAAAAATCAAATTGATTGGCAATGAAAACAAGTTGTTCGCCAGAAAACATGAGGGGGATTTTAAATGACGAAAACTTTACGGTTTTACTGGATTTCCAAGATGTATAACTAATTCTGTGAACAATTTGATCTCAAACTGAAAAATATCCAGGAATATTGTTCTAGTTTCCTCTCACATTCCCCCGGAAATTGTTTAACCAGTTGAAATGAATGTTGCAACGACTATTTTCTTAATTACTCCCCTCGCAACGTAATCACTAAGGCACATACTATTTAGTCACCTCCCTCTACGAAATGCGTTCATCTCGATTCCAATTTTCATTTCATTGCCAGAGACGAAACCGTTCCAAGGCCTTGACTACTCATAAAAATCCCCAGCTCTCGTACGGATGATTCCAAGACTGCGAAAACCTGTTACGAGTTATTGCCAATTGCTGCACTATTCCAAAAACTAATTTCCATCAATCAGTTATCACTTTTTACATAATCCCGTAAGAACGCACGGATGAAAAAAAATTCTTATTCATTACCGTCGAGACTATTGCAATTAATTCCTACCAATATAAAAAAATAACCTTTAAAGAAGAAATAATAACAATAACAATCTAATATTAAACTTTTTTTTCGTTTTATCTGGATTTAAATGTTATGTAGCAGATTGTAGAGTTTAGAAAAAATCTTGAAAAATTTTCTTTTATTTATACTTCTGTAAATTCATTTGAAACTTTGTTTAATACATTTCTTTAGCGTTATGACAATGGAATAATGTATGTGGGTAATAATGCAGGGCGACAAGTATCTTGTAGTATGATAAATGTTTTACGTGTGACTCATTGTCACTTATTTGTCCCCTTAGTTTTTCACTGTCAACTATTAGACTGATGGATTGCGAAAATCAGTTTTTGCTGAGCGAAAAATTTCTGTTGAAATATTTCTATTGCATCGAACGGAAAAATAGTCACAGAACTTTTTGTCAAATATCCGGAAGCATAAAATTGAATAAAACCATAATTTCGTAGCTTCCTTGTATTAATATCAAACTGCCCATATTCTCATACGTCATAAGAGCGTCGAAATTATTTATTATTTGAGTATTTCCTGATAGGTTCGTTTATATGCAGGAAACGTCGAGACACTCGCGTTATTTCCAACCTCACGTCGCGTACGAATGAAAATCGTCAATGGGAAAGAATTCACAAAATTCATCTAGAGGAAAAACGTCTGTTCAATGAAAATTTTCTGATTCAGTGAAAAAATTTCTGGATTAAAAAAAAATTGAGTTCTCGAATGTAGATAATTTATTGTCAATTCAGAAAATTTTTTTCTAGAATTACGAATGAATATTCTGGAATTGGGGAACCAGTTCTCTCAAATCGAGAAAATTCACTCCATCAAACTTGTGCATTTTTTTCGAGGCCAGTTTTTAGCGAATATCTCGAAAACAAAAAGATACAGCGATTTTTTCGATTATTCATTTTTTATAGAGAAAGATAAATACTACAAAAAAGATAATTATGCAAATTTCCATATGTTAGTTTAATCCCGAGATATTTGAGAAAACCTATCTCAAGAAAATGTACACTTATCCTAACTTACCACTTCGCTATTTAATTACCATTTTTTTTTAAATATTTGAGCGGAAAGCAAAATGTCTCACATGTACTTTGATTTCAATCAGAAGTCCAAACACACCTATGACTCAGTGAAAATCGATAAAAGAAAATAGCCCAACAATCGGAGATAAAGGAACGGAATTATTGAAAAACACAAGTGCAATAATATTTTCAATTCGAGCAGAGTTAAAGAGCGAGTTATAAACCCTGTCAAATTCTTTCGTTCCGACTCGGTCGTACAATTTTATCACCGAACAAACAAGTACCAACATGTTCATTACAAAACGAATTTACGGCTTACGCAATGATTAATCCTCCGTAGACGAATATTCAGTCACTTCTTCGCCATGAACTATTTTTCTCCACCTCAGTTTGCGATCAAATAAGATAATTATCCAAATTAACCTTATCCGTTTCTTTTTATTCTCTCGTTGACTTGCGTTTCTGTACCTAGAGTTTAATTGATTTGTTCAACGCAATATTTACCAGTGAGTACCTGGTACGTTAAAAAATAATTTTATAAATGTCAGATCATAATTAGAAATCGTAGAAACATAAATATCGAGTTTTTTCTTCATTCCGCAGCAAATCAAGTTCTCTCCATCAATTTCATCTATTGTCATCCACTCAGAATGATTATCGTCAACCAGAAAAATATTCGAATTGAGGAAACAGTGAATCCCATTAGAGAATAGTTGCATCGATAATTAATATACGACGGGAATTTCCCATGAATAAAATATTCGGCCTCATTACCAGAGCCTCTCAATCATCTTCCATAAATTATTTGATTGAAAATCAATTGTTCAAGGTGTTGAGTCGTCTACTGATATACGATAGTATTTTATTCCTGTTCCGTGATTCAAACATGTGTCAATTCAATTATATGTAGTTTTAATTGAAATAATTATCTCAGGAGATTGAAAAAACTTGGAAAACCATCCATCTTCGAGTTGACTAATGACTTCATCTCTTGTTTTCGACGCATAAACACTGAAGATTATCCACAAGTTCCAATTTTATCCTCGAGGAACAATAAGTCATTTTTACGTTTTTCATTATCGAGGGGAATTGAGATATTTCAGTGAGAAGTAATAACTCGAACTTCGTTTTAATTAATTGACTACTGAAAATAAAATGAAGCCAATTAAAAATGACGTAATTCAACGACAAAATGAATGTCTGCATTTAAATGACTAATTCATAATTTTATCTTCTCATTTTTCCAGATTTTTACAATTTTCTGAGATACGATTGTTAAAATTTATTTCACCATTCATTCAATTTTCATTTTCATTTCATTTTCTACCTGAAATTTACAAGAAAAAAATGATAAATGAGAAAATATCGACAGTAACTTTTTAACAATTAATGAAGATTCTTGTTAATATGTACGGATAGAATTTCGGATGACTAATAAACGTTGTGATATTTTTCAGGTAGCCAAAAGGTAGAATGGTGGCATCGCAGAACGACGGTGGAAGAAGTGGTGGTGGTGAAACGAATTCCGTAGGTGATGAGCACGGTACAGCAGTTTACACAGTATCAGTGAGTGGTGGATACAGAAATGAGGGGTACAAAGAGGACAATGGCGACGGTATACCCCCAGAGCCAACAAAACCCCCGGCATTGCCAGCCCCAGAGGATGACACACAGTCCCGCAAGCTAAAAATGTCAAGAAGTGAAAAATGGCGAATACTGAAAAATATTGGCACAGTATCAGTGGCATTCATGGTGCAATTCACAGCATTTCAGGGTACCGCTAATCTACAATCATCGATAAATGCCAAAGATGGTCTTGGCACTGTATCGCTGTCAGCAATCTATGCGGCACTTGTGCTGTCATGTATTTTTGTACCGACATTCATGATCAAGAGATTCACTGTCAAGTGGACATTGTGTCTGTCGATGCTGTGTTATGCACCGTATATTGGATCGCAGTTTTATCCGAGGTTTTATACACTTGTACCAGCTGGAGTACTTCTGGGTCTTGGTGCTGCACCCATGTGGGCTGCTAAAGCCACTTATTTGACACAAGTCGGTGGTGTTTATGCCAAATTAACTGATCAGCCTGCCGATGCTATTGTCGTCAGATTCTTTGGATTCTTTTTTCTTGCTTGGCAAACAGCTGAACTCTGGGGCAATCTCATTTCATCTCTCGGTGAGTCATTGTCAGTCAATTATTGTCAGAATAATTATTTTTATTTCGATTGACTACGCATGATGGCGTAATGAATGAGAATATTCTTAGTCGTTGTAAATCTTTTCTTTTTTCATGCGATACGAATATCCTTTGGAGTTAATGCTCCAATTAATCTCCAATAAAAATTAAAATCACTCTGTCAAGATCGTCCGAATTATTTCATGCTTTTTTCTCTTTTAAAACAAATATATTCATATTTTTGGGAAATCCCCACATCCTGCTCAACCAAATAGCAAGGATTCCATAAAAAAATGAAAAAACTACTGGCATGTCATTAAAATAATAACCCACCCGAATCATAAATTAAAAATTCCCATCGTGACATATTGGACCTGTCTGTTTATTGGCTAGCCAATTTTTCTTAGACTCATCTTCTGAGATGAAAAAAAATAATGCAAACACCGATTAATCAACATAACGGTCTACCTGGAATAAATAGGTAGTAGATATTTTTCCTTAATTGAGTGATAAATTCAAGGCAACAATGTAGGTTTATAGAGTTCACTGTCTCCATTGAATCCAGAAAGAAGTCGTATTATATTACATAAAAATATCGATGTTAAACGGAGCGAGTGAATGTGAAAGAAAGTTCTAGAGGATATATATACAAAACGTGTATAATACTTTCACGAGACATGCATTGCGCCTGGATGATTCCCGCCGTTTATTCTACATCCTTCACTTTGTATCGGAAAGTTTCGAGAAACTATTTTTAATTAATGGAATTATATTAACTGACATAAAGCATTGGCCGGGGCACTAGGGCGAGTGGAATGGCTCAGCGTTTGATCTGACACTCGAGAAAATAATCATCTCCCCACGTCCTCACAATTCTCCAATTCAACAACACTCCATATCAATTAAAATCAATCAACAATAACTTCACCGATAATCCCTCACTTTCTACCTCACCCACTTTTCAGTTTTAATCGAAATTCAATACTATTATATATCATTCTCCGCTCGCGATTTATTTCACGACGAATGCTAATAATAATCCAGATACCAAATAAAATAATTGTGAAACAATTTTTCATTGAATTTGACAAGGAGAACGGAGCGCGACATTTCGACGTAGAAGACTCCTCATTTAATATTCATATCGATGTGTATTGGGATAATTTAATAATTATTATAAATGAGAGATAAAAAAAAAGTGGGGAAAGAACGGCGCCGCCCAGAAGTCGCCATGTACTAGTGTAATGTCTGTTCTCTGGTTATAGAGGCGAAAGATCGCCTCCGGCGAAACGACAAACGAGATTTAACCGGTATAAACCCGCATTACCCGGCTTTCCTCGTCTCCATGCATTCACGTGCTGATGTAGTGACTTCTCACTATTACAACCCAAATTATTATTTCCCTAAAAAAAAATATTTTCCACAATATATTAAAAATAAGAGCCTATCCCAGGTCATGACCGTAATGTTCTAGAATTGTCCTCAGATCTTGTGTGACACAGTGGGGCCCTATTTTGGGCCCGATGCCACTAGGGGCTGTCGCGCACTCGCGCCTGTGAAATACTTTCCGTATTTTCTCGCCCCCGATGTAACGAAAAATTACTCCCTTCGAGTAAATTTGTTTATTCGAAATATTTAAAATGTCTAATTATTCTCTGACTCCTATTTGTTCACCCTGCGGGGCCCTCTTTTGGGCCCATCTTTCGGTCTTTTCTCACTTCTGACACTAGAAACAATTGCTTCAAACTGTCCAATAACTTCTCGTCGAAATATAATTTAAAAAAGCCATACTCTCATTGTGAACATAAACATGCCAGTCGTTTACGGTTTAATGTTGTTCAGGGAATTGTATATGGATGCATTCGGTGATAAAACGTAAAATAACAGATCATCAGTCTTTTATAGTTGTATTTTGCTCAAATAATTGTAAATAAGTTCAGCGATGAAACGTCAAAAATGGGGAATCGTCGGGTCTCTTGATTTTGAGCGTTTAATCGTATTGAATGGGTGTAATTAGGCGAGGAAAATGGCTGTTGAGTATTTGCTTGTGTTTTACCACTACCCAGAAGGTCAAGATCCTTTCGAGTCCTTGCCAAGGTCGTCTCAGATCAGGCAAAGACTCGAGTTCATCTCTGCAATCTCCACTACTAGCAGTATATGATGTCTATCATGAAAATGGAATGTATTTCTGAGGTCGAGCAATGATGGAATTTATAAAAAATAGTAAAAAATAAAAATTCAAGATTAGAATTGTTGAAAATTGTCCTAAAATTGTTAATTCAATGCAAGATCATCACCCGTCTCTTCTCTAGGAGGGAAACAATTTTTTTTTATCATTTAATTTTTTTTTAATTTAATAAAAAAAAATTTTTTTATGTCATTTTATTTTATGACATTCAACACAGTTCGATATTTTTCTCTCGCTATTCAATATTCATGAATCAGAGGTGAAAACCGTTATCACACATAGGGAAGCTATATGAGTGATAATGTGTATTCTTCGTAAACAGATCGTTGCTACGAGAGACAGGAATGAGCACAATATTTTGACAACACGGAGATATGACGCATTATCCAATTGCACAAACTTTTTTCCTGCGTCACTGTCCTCAAACTTTTATTCTCTCTTTCAACGGGGATGTAATGACGTATCGAGAACAATTACAGTAACAAAAAAGAATTATTCATGATAAGGAAATATACAGATATGAATTTATCGGTAAAATTGTGAGGGATACATTATACGGTAAAAAATTTTTACCGAAAATTTAATCAACTGGATGTACTTAGATTAATTGTAAAATGTACTAGATCCGAGTTTCTTTTTGCGTGTGAGAGGATTTTCATCGTGATACGGTTATTTTAATATGTTATCGCACGCTTGCCTGGTATTATACAAATAGTACTTGAAGAGGTGTTCTCTCAGCCACTTAGGCAAATTGAATCGTTATCGTAACGTTTTGTTGGTTTTATACGCCAATCAATGAACGTAACACGAGAGAATTACCTCATCATTCCGGTAGAATTACTTATCACCGAAATCTTAAACCTGTCCCATCGGAATTCGGGATTTCCTCGTGTAAGAAACCGGAATTATTCGGCAGAGGAAAAAACAGATCAGGAAAAAATAGTCTAGACACCCGAATTTTGTTAAAAGGCACATGATTTCAGTAAAACTAATTAATTCAGTGCTCCATTTTCTTCTCCTCACTTCCATTCCTACATTACGAATTTCACGTAATTTTTTATAATTTTTTGTTGGATAAATTACTTAATAATAAATAAACCAATTAATTCAGTGCTCCATTTTCTTCTCTTCACTTCAATTCCTACATTACGAATTTCACGTAATTTATTATAATTTTTTGTTGGATAAATTACTTTAATTGATAACTTTTATTATTGATTTATTTTTCAGTTCTCAGTGAAGGAGAATTCGGGAGTGGTGGTGATGAGAATGCCACAAACTTCAATCTAGAAAAATTGAGCACCTGTGGTGCACACTTCTGCACGATGGGTGGTCATCACGAGGTAGAACGACCTCCAGAGTCCGAGATCTTCGAGATTTCTTCGATATACCTGACATGTGTCATTGTCGCTGTGATAATCGTCGCCCTCTTCGTGGATCCGCTGTCCAGGTGAGTCAAAAAGAAAAGAAAAATCGAAAATACGATTTCTCCCTCATTTTCATTCAATGAAAAATTATCAACGTACGTCCCGTGTCAGACTAATAATTTATCTCTCCAGTTAGGATCGGATGAAAGATCCGTTTATCGTTTCAACTCTCGGTTGTGCTAATTGTGAGGCATCCTCGTACGTCTTTGATAGTCAGGATTTATTTTTTTTTTCTTCTCTCAGATTAATTTTTTTCTCTTCGTCGTTGAACATTGAAGTTACGAAACAGAAGGCTAATAAGCGAGTATCACGGGATCCTCGGAATATCCCTACCATTGTATATCCGCCATAAACATTGCTCTGCTGATGATTGCAAAATGGCATACATCCGACTTGGGATGCGCATCGTTGCACAGGCAAAAACCGTATGTACGAGGTTTACGTAATTTTTTTTTTTTCTTCACCGGTCTTCGACGATTTGTGGTTATTGAAAATCTAGCAGATCCAATGGTACTTTGTGTATTTCCGGTGATAATGGAATGGTGCCGGTCTTTCATGCCGATCTTTCATGAATGAATTTTATGATGTTGATGTCGAAGTACTCCACTAGTTATTCATGACTTGCGTGATTTTTATATCGCGTCATTTGAGAGTTGATGATTGATGTAGAAGCTTTTGTGCTCTGGCCAATTTGAATAATACACTGAGAATGATTTTTTATTGTAGTCATTAGTGTCAATACCAACTAGTTTTTATATCAATCGTTGGATCATTTGGAATCATCTCGGTGGATTAGTGGACTTTGAGAATTAATGGCGTTTGAATATTTTTGTGGGAATACCTGTCTGTGTCACTGGCTGAAATAATTCTTCACTTATGTAACACTGGGTTTCTTTGATTGGATGTACATGTTTGCTTCTTCGAGAGAATTCTCTCTTGTTTTCCCGGCGTCTCATTGATTTGATAAAAATCTTCAGTCTTCGTACCGAATGATAAAAGCTTTGTTCAGACACTCAAAGGCTTCTTCACACTGAGGAAAAGATTACTTCTGCTAAACTAATTTATGTCTGCAAAGTGGATAAAAATTTGCATTTGAAATGTGTGGATTTTCTTGCAGTTTGTGAATTTTCCTCCAACTAGCATTCAGTCGCAAAATCATCTGAATTTTCAATTATACGAGTTTGAATTCAATTGCAATCAAAAAAGCTTTAAATTTCATGTACTCATTCCTAGTATAAAAAAAAAAGGAAATTGATCTCGAAATATCTCGAATGACCATAAGGGCACGACTCGTAAGACGAAACTGACCAGCCACCATGACGTCGCAGCTAAATCACAAACATTTCATTAAAAATTTCAAATATAATTTTCCAACAGTGTAGAGACAAAACCCCGTAAAATATTCATTAACATCCGGTTTTTAAAAAAAAAGAATACAAAAAAAATGAAATTTCTCTCGATAATTAAACGCCATTCTCCACTGGCTGAAAATAAAATTAATGTTCTCCTAGAAGTAAACATGAGTCATATACATTCACGAGTAGAGAATCAGTGGCTACAGTCAGACGCTCGCTGGATAATCGTAAAAACCAAACAGCTGTGATTAAAATCTCATCAGGTCTTCCGGCAGTTCTCCATCCAAATCGATTTGAAAAATATTCCCGAGGTTGTCTCCGACTAGCTCCACTGGTTTACCACCGACCAGCATTACCGATCATTACAAGAAATCATTTCGATTGACCCAAGAAAAATTTATGAATCATGTCAATTCCCAAAGAATTTATATAAAAGTATATAAAAAATAAAAAATCTATAGATCGATAATATCTTTTTGATGCGTTCGTCGAACCTGTCTAGTCGATGGAATGCGTCACATCTCTGTTATGTACACACGCGAGTCCTTTCACCTCCGGTCATACAGCAAATCCATCAACATTTAATGTCAACTACCAATCTCCTTTACTTTGATAATCGCAATCAGAGATGCTTGAATAGTTGAATGATGGCTGGAGCTAGTCAACGAGTGACTGCCCAGGGGAATTAATTTTTTTCTCCTTATTTTTCAATGACTTTATCATCTGTGATATCTCAATCCTCAATATTACGCAATAACAAGTGTATTTAAATTGTATACACTTGCTCACCATGTCCGCCATTTTAACTCGCGGCACAAGGTTAAATTACTCGCGTAACGGTTTATGATGCTGTTTTCATCGGATTTTTAATCCCCAACTCCTAAAATAATAAGGAAGAAATCAAAATGGCTTGTACTATTTTTTTTTCGAATTGAGACGGGGAAAGAAATTACAATAAAAATTATCCTGACGTTGCGCTCATGATAAAATCTAAAAGTCTAATAAAAATTATCATATTTTTGATGAATTAAAAAAAAAAGCATGGCATTGGTTACAGCAAATTCGTAGTAAATTATAGAGTAAATTTTAGTGCTTTCGAGACCGTTGCAAGAAACCGATTTCTATGTTCTACTCTACGTTACTCATTTCCCAGCAAAAAAAAAAGTACAAAATACGGTATTAACTAATAATTAGTACTAAAAACGTAAATAAAGTCTCACAATGGTAATTGTTGAAACTGATTCCTCACCGGCGGATGCGAAAATTCATAAATCAATTCGCGATAAGATCATGAAATATTCTTGAAAATCACTTTAACTGTTCCATGTATTATGGTCTCTGTATGTATCATCAACGTCAATCGGGTAATTATCCTGATCTCGAATCCCCTCCAGTCGTTAACGTGTGAGCGACCATGAGATGGAGAGGATAACCTTGCAAGGCTGTCTCCACTGTTGATTTTTTTCTCTCCTATCCACGTTGTCACTTTTTCTTACTCTTTGCATTTTCCTATCGTTCCTTTTTTCTCCATTCATTGCCTTTTAGCATAAACGATGATTCAGAGTCAATTGCAATACTTTGAAGTTGTTATGAGTTGAATTATGCACGGAGACGATTGCACGTATGCATTTTTTTTGTATTCCTCGATGTAGGATTTATCAGCCAGATACGGGAGGAATGTCTTCATTGTATTGGAGCATGAGGATGCTCATGACACTTGTATTACTCAACAAAACTGCGTATCCATAATTAACAATTATTTCTCTTCAAAATTCTGGGAACGCCAGTTCAATGATTATTGGTGAAACATGGGTCAAACATTGAAAACAATATTCTCGGTTGGTAACTTGAATTAATTAACGGAATAATCGCAGCTACAGTTCATTAAAATACTTCGAATTACGATAATGACGTTTATAAAATACTCCAGATAACATTAGTATTCTCCGTCGGATTATCTTGGACTGTAAAAATCATAAACGTGTTCAACGTACGGTGGAATGCGGTCCTCGTACTATATTATGTCGCTTTACCATCGTTAAAGTCTCCAGCATCCCATATATTCGCGTTTTAGTCTTCTCCACTGGACCGATAACCCTAATGTACTGGAACGAGCACAGTGGCGGAATTTATTCTGCAAATTAATCACTCGAACGAATTAGGACGAAGACTTATTTTTTAATAGATACAAAAGGTACTGCTACGAATTGTTCTGAGAAATTGCATTAATTCACTAATTAATATCACAGCTGAACGGAATCAATAATACAATTAAACGGATTCAATTATCAGAAAAATAACTTTATGAATTGAGAAAAAATTGAGTACATTAAAAACAATTGTGTTTAAACTAATAAATAAAATTAGCAAATAGTCAGAAGTACATAGGTGATTACATAGGTGATTGTCAGTGCTAAATATTGGATTGAATAAATTTGGGACGCGTTATAATACCTAATTACCATATAAAAAATCACCGAAATGAGATAAAAAAAATAATCCCCGAGGCATTGGGAATTTCAAATCTCCTGACACATTGTATTCCCACGAGAAGAGGTCATGGAACTTGTTTTTGATCGTGTGCGAGATGGGCTTTATCCCCAGACAGGCGAAATGATAATTTTTCATCGTCGCACCATGGGAGTCTACTTCTCGGAGATTTGTCTGCCAAATATCTACGTTATAAATGCATTCACGCTTTATGACATCCCTTTGAAAGTTATTCCAACTGAGAAATTAAAAGATCGTATTTTACCGAGTTAATTACGAAGGGCTCATCATTCATTTTTAAACGAAAAAAAAAAAATTACACAGCCATTGCACGTTTTTTCCGAAATGAAAAAGAAAATTATCGATACGATATGGTGTGTAGTAATGACTACGAAACGACGTAAATTCACGAGAAAAATAATAATTATATTCCGGGAATCAACTTCTGTTATAATAAGCCACTGGGTTTAATAAAAAATTTATTTTTATGTCGACTCGGTTTTCCATGCTGCCGGTCATTTACTTCTTCTCACATTATTACCTCATTTATTAGAATGATTTTAAAAGAAATTCAGGGGGAATATGAGCTGGTCAGACAGTTTGACATAGAACCGGATTTATTATTAATTTATTACCGAATATTACAATAATGGGACACGCCTGACACAATCCAATATTTCGAAAATCTCAAAATCATGAAGCCAAGATTCCTTATTGGTCCACCCTAAAAAAAAAATGGAAATGACTACTAATTAAACATCATGCAACCGTGATTGGGCACGCAATGTGCGCCTCCATTCCTAATTATTATATATAACTGAGTGTTGACTGATGTCATGTGAATTTAAATTTAATTTCTACTTAGAAAACTTTATTCCAAAAAATTACGCAACTCACAATCCGCTCCTTGATCATCTGTACAATTATTTATTCAAATCGGTAGTGATAAGCGATAGATTTCGTCTATTGGAGAAGGCATTGGCAATTAAATTTTTAATTTAATTAAATACTCGATGGTTAATTGATTGACTGATTTATTGCCAGTGATTTTGAGAGACTGCTGAGCATTTCAGAACCGATTTTACACTTCAATCCCGAGTGACATCAGTTTTAGACATCGGAATACTTTTTTTATTGTTTTTTAATGGTTTTTTTTTTGCGTTTGGCTTTCAGGTATGGTGAGAAGCAGCGACGCGCTGATAGTGCAGAACTCAGTGGGATACAGTTGTTATCTGCAACTGCCTATCAACTTAAAAAACCGTACCAACAGCTTCTGATACCGATCACGGTGTGGATTGGAATGGAGCAGGCATTCATTGGTGCAGATTTTACTCAGGTATAAATGAAAATCGCTCAATCAAATTAATGTTACTATTTTGATTGACAATTCTATCGTTCGAATTGCCCAAGGGAGAGAATTTCATAAAAAAAGACTTTTTTTGTTACGCATATCGCATTGTAATGAGAGTAGGAGAGATCGGAATCAGGATGTATCCCTCAAAAACAAGGAAATCACTGAATCACAAATTTTAACCCTGAACTTGACTGACGTGATGTTTTGATAATTTCCGGAAATCCTGACCGGGACTATTTTCATTTCGCTCGTTTCTAAACAGATGTTTCATTCATGAGTATCCCAGAGCTTCCGGGGGATCGGAAGTGGTGATTACCAGTGGGAAGATCTGAAAATCACGTGTCGGCATTGATACCCAGTGCAATTACTGTAATCACTTGTGCAAAATTGGTGGATTTAAAAAATTGAGACTTTCGGAGTCGGAAAAAAGAGGATGGCGAGATTCGTATCGGTATAATGATTAATTATCTTTGATGATTCCGAAGAATCGAGCCGAATTTTGTAGTGCTAAGTCAACTGTCACATGACCGTCATTTGACGTGGCACAAATTTTGCTTGCGTCACTGCGATGAAATCGTTTTCGTTAGCAATTAATTTGATTTTTAATGAATCTTTTCGCACAATCGTGAATTCATTGCCCTAAGTATTTTTTTTTTCAGTTCATTGAAATGATAGAAATAACAGAATGAATGGTCGTAATTCCAATCGGCGAAAGTCGAATGGAAAGATTTCCAAGTCATCAGAAAAAATATCACCACACGTATTATTCGTCCTCGAGTGTCCAATGTCACGTTGGCTCGAAGTCGGTCAGGAATTTCACCAACAACGCGAAATTATCGTATGATTATTCTTACCATTGACTCGTACACTCCCATACTCAATTGACTCTCTCGACTGCTGCAGAAACGAAAAGGAATTTTTTAAAATTCATTACCATTTCATTATTTTACTCCTCTCGATTTTTTTTTATCCTCACCGAATCATGTTTGACTTCCTAGCAAATAAAGGTTCGATGACTATGGAGTGAGAGCTCTGACATTCATTCATAATGACGAATAACAGAAATTGATTTCGCCGGTGATACCCTTAACCAAATATTGATACAACGGTTTATCGTCATTACCGTAAAAACTGGACGACGAACTAATGGATTCAGACACGTAAATCCGTGGCAAAGCGGTAAAACGGGTCAGGACAATTTTTTTTTTTATAAAAATTCTCCTTTCGTGTTGACCATCTTACGTTTCGATTCACCCCTTGAAGTATATTTAGTCATGTTTCGTCAAAAGGAGTCAAATTCTTTAAATCATCCCGAATCCATTCCAAAAATTATATGTTAATACAGCCCGAAAAAAATTATGCAAAAACAATCTCTTCAGTATAATTGATAATTTTTAAACATTTCTCCAGCTTTCAAATTAATTTTCTACATTATCCCCTGAATTTTACTTTTACTCTTGGCTTTAGAGTTTTTCATCGCGAACAAGAATAGGGAATATAATGAAAATTTTTTTCCAGGCTTACATCTCGTGTGCCCTAGGTGTCCAGAAAGTTGGGTACGTCATGATCTGCTTCGGGGTGGTAAACGCTGGTTGTTCACTCCTCTTCGGATCAGTCATGAAGTTCGTGGGAAGGCAGCCCTTGATGGCCCTCGGGGCAGTGGTCCATGCAGCCCTCATCGGCGTTCTCCTAGTCTGGAGGCCTCATCCTGAGAACTCCTACGTCTTCTACACGGTCTCCGGTCTCTGGGGTGTGGGTGATGCAGTCTGGCAGACTCAAGTCAACGGTAAGTCCTCCTAAAGTATCTCCTAAAATGCCCTCAAAAAATTACGAACCAGAATTTCAACGGATTTCCAAATGGATGGTTCCTATTTTTTTTAATAAATGAGAGTAATAAAAATATAAATTCATAAGAAATAGTGAATTATAAAATACAAACAGATGTATGAAATTACAACTGAACGCAATGTTAACTCTGTGATCTTGAGAAGAGAAAAAAATTGTTTACCCAGAATGATCCTTGACAAATAACTTAGAAATGAAAATTTATTGTGACAGGTTTATACGGTACACTCTTCAGGCGCAACAAGGAGGCTGCATTTTCAAACTACCGTCTCTGGGAAAGCGCTGGTTTTGTCATTGCTTATGCCTACAGTACACACTTGTGCGCAAGAATGAAGTTATACGTCATGTTAACAGTATTACTAGTTGGTACAATGGGTTACATAATCGTGGAGATACTCCACAGGCGAAAGCAGAAAAGATTGAAGGCACTTGCTGAGGATCCAAAGGCAGCAGCAGCAGCTGCTGAGGCAAATGTGCCTGAAGAAACTGACGATGAGAAGGACGACATCGACGACGACATCATCGTAACACACCTCTGAATATTCAAACGAATAGATTAATGATAAAGCTACTTTCACGAGCATCATTGAGGGTTTTTCCTCAATTTTTATTTATCAGAAAGGCCTCTAGGGCTTCCTCGTTACGACGTCTCTCAAGCCAACGCTCGTCGGCCCGCACACGAAATCATAAATACAATGAAACAATTACGATCATCAGTTGTCACGTGCTGGACGACGATCGATTATTTATGAGGACGAGAATTATGCTTGAGAGACGTTTGCGTCTCATCGTATGATGGCAGGAAGGATCGAGGCAAATACGAGACCGAAATGAAAATGTTTCGTATATTATTTTTTTTAAAAAAACCAACATGAAATTTTCTCGAGTGGATATCATTCAGCGGGAATTTCCACACTGAAATTGCAAATTCAAATCGAGATTATGGATCATCCAAGGATTTTATTATAAAATATTCTCATTTTTTTTTTATGGGAGAAATTTGAGAACGGAAACAACAAAGCAGTATTTTATAACGAAATAATTGTTCTTTCTTTTGTAATTTGGAACGATTGATATCACAGTTGCCAGAGGGAATTCAGTTTCCGTCCCAAGTGGTGCATTAGCTCAAAACGCGAATCCTCGAATTTAGGATTAGTTGTAGATAAAGTCTAATAGGAATTGAATCAAATGGATGAAAATTTTTTGATTGATGTATTTTTTATCTTAAAATTCTTGTCTCTTCCTCGGCTCGGGTGATACCCTTTTGCCATGTTGTTTTTACGATTGACCAATGAACGTTTTTTTTATTTGGCGTTGATCAATCACTCGGATTTCTGTCTATTCGGAGAATGTGAACTCGAATGCGGAAGGGTATTTGAGCATGTGTATAATGAACCGGTGACCTTGGCAGGACCGGTATGTCGATAGAAAATTCATTGGCCTCGTGGATAATACCCCATGTCCTCGTTCACCAGTGTTTAAGATTATTTTTTTCTCCATGCAGAATGAATAATCACAATGAATTCTTTGCGGATTGGCTTCACATGTCGAAATTGGAAATGTCGCAATGATTTCGTAAGTGATATATTCAGAGGATTCAACCTCTCGATTTAAACTCGTCGACTCGAGCTGAGGAAGAAGACAGTGTAGTCGTAGTTATTAATCGTAGGATTAAAAAATTACTGGAAGCGTGATTGATACATAAAATGGCCGTGGAACAATTATCAAGCACAATTAGCAAACAGTCATGAACACGAGTTGAAATTGTAGATCCTGGAGGGATAGACAAGTAGTCGAATGATTGTAATAAGTGAATATAAATGAATAAATAAACGAAATAAATACATTTATATATATCAGATGAAAATCATCAAGTAATTTTAAAGAATTTATTCACACAATTCTCGGGACCAATATAATGTCTGTTGTTACTCACGAATTATCTGTTCTTCGATGTAATAGCTGTCAGCCTTCAAGTTGGACTTACAGTTGTTGACATTTTTTTAGAATGCGAATGAGAATTGGTAGTAAATCAAATCCATTGAATTCATTTGTATTATTGAGCTCGATTGAATAGGGATAATTGGTATCAGTGTTATTCCTTATTGTTTAGATCGTCCTTGGGATTAAATACCGAAGGAAGAGTCGGCCATCGGGCGTTCATGATTATCAGTCGAACACTACATAAATATATATATGTTTTCATCCGGTTGACGCTCGACATTTTTCGAGCTCTTGGATTTTATTGTACAGTATCGTTTAGTTATATAAGACTAATGATTAATAATATTTGTTTTTTGCTCCTCTTTCGATTATTTTAATTGATAAAATGTAAAATTTAATGCCATTATGTCATATAGTGATTGTTATTCTTAAGGATATTATAGATTAGGTTTTAGACGATTATCATTTTATTAAATGAAAACAATTGAGATAATTTCCTTGTTTATTCATTTAATATTACATATTTTTTGGTCATTATTCATCTAGTTGTTGAACGAGAATGAATGAATTTTGTTAGTTGCAGACATCACAAAGTCGGGGAGAATATTATCTATCATTTAAATAGCAGTATCTGAGCGAAATTCTAATTTTCACATTATTATTTCTCATCATCTTCGCACTTTATTCCAAAGTTTATTACTCTATGTTTGTTTACGCAACATTTGAAGTATACATGATGCTCATTAGACACTAGGTGACAGCGAGTATAATGAAATGAGATACAGAGAATGTAACATTGGTTTCATACACTGTTTGTCATTCTATTTATATCAATATACGAACGCTTATTCTCAAAGGTGAAGGCACTCAAGTCTGGAATAACACCTCTTACAATTATTTTGAAAGAATTTCGTTTTTATATCATCAACAATTTATACATGTGCATATATCATAATCACAGCAGCACGTACATATTTTTTCTCTATTTTTACAAAAATATATAGCTTGGTATTCAAATCGTTGCGCTCCACGAACGATTCATTTAAATATTCTCGTTTAATCATTGGTTATTTTTCCTCCATGGTTTCACCGTTGGTCTAAGTACTATTTACATTCTACATATTATCAATTAGTCATTTCATTCTACAAGCAAAGATGATAAGTTTTATAATGAATTTTTTATTACCACAAGATGAAAATAATCACGTTTAATCGTGATTTTTTAATCTTAATTCCTTTGGAACTGCCGTTCGGCAAAAATATATAATATGAATCAAAAATATCACATTTGTTTCAATTCGTTTCTCATGGTGATCCCCAAAAAACAATAATAAATTCAATACGGTCAATTAATAGCGACCTGTTATTCATCGATGAAAATTAATGCGCGTTAACAAGTGTACAAAATAATAATGCATGTGAAATACAATCCTTTGAGACTGAATTGAGCTTTTGATGAGTACAAGTGCCTTAGAGTAACAACTGCACTTTTATTGAACTTACTGATTCTCTACGGAACAAACAAAAAAAAACTACTATAAGTACCAATTATTCTTTTAAGGAACGTTTGAGTATAAAATACTGATAATTGCGTGAGAAATAAATTGCCGGCATGATTAATCAAAAGACCCAATAAAATGGAAGCACAGTGTGCACTAACAAATATTGCGAGTTACCCAATTACTCCGAACAATCTAGTCTATCAAACAAAAAACGTTGAGTTATCACTCGATTCAATAAACAATCGAATGTTCAATTCCACTGTTTAATATATTTGTCTGCTCTCATGATTCCCGAAATATTCTACAGATATATGTTGTACAGTAAAAGTTTTGGTACCAACATTTCAAAAATAAAAACGGCAATGAATAACTTGAAAATTACGTCCGAAATTGGACATGATCGTGGCTCATTTATAACTATTTACAGAGTTGTCATCGTAATGATTCACAAGACCCTTCGAATTATTTACATTATCTTATATGAATTTCTCCACATGATTGATTTAAAAAAATGAGCACTAATAATATTCAAATGAGCTATTTACCCCCTCGAGGTATACAATTTCATCCTAAATATGAGTGTGTCTCAGCTGGCATTGGACACGTCCATATCGATTGTCTCCTCCTTGAGTAGTGCACGTCTATCTTCTTTAGCATTCGATGTTTTTTTACCACCAGGTTTGCGTTTACCGCGATTGACAACTCCATTATCATCATCCATCATTCTCAGTATTTGAGTTTGATCGGAGCTTTCAATTGGAGCTATCGATATATCTCGCACTGCTCTGAATTTACCGCAGTTATTCAAATGCTCGTTCTCAAGTCGAAAGAAATTCCAAACAAATCTCCTGAAATTAAGCAGATTTATGTAAAAATTTCTGCCAATCATCACAAGAATAAATTAATAATCATTAATTAAACTGACCTGAAGACTTCCAAAGGGGCTACAATTGAGGTCATCAAGTCTCCACTAATATATCCGTAATCCACAAGAACAAAACTGGCTATCCAAATGAATCTCAGCAAGAAATCCTCAATAATGGCAAAGTAGTAAAATCCCTATGAAAAAAAAATAATAATAAAAATCCTATGGGGTTTATTAATCGCCGATAAAAATGGCGATACTTACAGCGGATGAATACACAACTTCTTCTCGAAGGAATTTATTTTCACCTGCATTACTGTCCAATAAACCCCAATCCATTTTTATATCCCAAGTGTACGAGTATATCGAGTTTATTAAACAGCTCACGACCCACATCCATAGCCAGGGGCTCTCCCAGTGATTTTTTTTATACTCATCTAAAAGATTCAATTACCAATGAATGTTGCCATCAATTACCATAAAATGAGATGAATTTATTCATTAATAAAAGATCACTAAATGCAACGATGACAAACAGACTAATGAACTCACCATCATGATAATATCTCAAGGTTGCTGTAATAACAACCAGAAATGTAGTTGCGTATTTTCCCGCATTGACAAGATGTGGAAATGCCTCTTTTGAGTCACGATACCGTCTGACACACTGTGCAAATCTAATCCATGCGGGCACACAGTTCACTATTGGTCGAACAATTAAAGAACCAGATCCACAGTGATTCGTATCTCCAGCATTCAACCAGTCTCCATTTGTCAGGTAGAAACATATCAAAAAATGGAAATCCATCAGAGGTGTTACGAGACTGTTCAGCTGATCGGCCAACCAAAAATCCGCGAAATTTACGTAGGCAAATGGTGCTATTATCATCCTCCACTGGAATTAAATTGCAATAAAAAAATTAAAACTATAACAAAACTATAACGAGTGCATTCTTTTGTGGTGATTTTTTATCGAAGATCTTGAATAAATGTTCGATAAATATTTTTAATCAATAATGAACTCATTCATGTCTAGGAAAATTTTTCCAACTTACACATATTCGCAGTAGCCAGAACCTCGCCTCATGGCGGAATATCTTGAATGGATTAAAGAGAAATGCCAGCATAATGCACACAAGCACCAGTGGATTGACATAAGGTGGCACTCCCAGGCTAGCACTGTAGAGAAAACTGAGTAAACTCAGCGTCCAAACAACTCCAAGGACAGCTGCGAGCTCCATGAGATGCTGCTCTGATAAGTGATTACGTGGATCCAATTCAAATATCAATACGTGATTAACTCCAGATGATCTCCAACCATAAACATTGACCCCGATGAGGAATAAAAATTCCACGAGCAGTAGAGGTCCACGATACAGTCGGAACGCTACTTTAAGATTGTCCCCATTTTCATGAAATATTGCTAAAAAAAAATGTAAACATTATGAGACAGCCAAATGCTATCACAAAACCTCATAAAGAAGAGAACAAATAGTGACATTAAAAGTCAAATATTGTAGTAAGTTTTTCATTATTCAAACAAAGGGAGAATGGTTAAATATTATTTACCAGAAAGCACAACAGCAACAAATAGAACTATAAAACTCCCAGAGAATAATCCAACTTTGAATGTAGTCCAAGGGCTCTGATGTTCTCCAAGTGGAGGGACACGGAGTCTCTTCATTGCTCTCTGTCGATCTCCACTCTCTAATTCGTTGGTCACCGTTGCCTCTGTCTCCTGAATTAATTTGTCGATGTCCTTTGAAGTGCAGAAGTGAGACGTTTCCACACATTCCATTCGCCATTTCGAGCCAGTGTCAACGTTCAATAGCTACAGAATGCAACCAAAAATGCCTGACCATCAGCAAAAATGACCTTCAGAAATGAATAGTTGGGACATGAGTGAAAATAATCTTTACGTCATTGGGAATTATAGTTTTGAGGGACTTAGGGAGAGGAAAGACTTCTGCTTGGTAGGATCATCTCGTCGGATGACTGAATACCTTGTCGTGCTTCTTTAGAATTTTTCGGAAGCCAGTGTAATTCAAATTTTGATAATTCTGCAGCAAAATTAGAGAGAGATAGTACTCCGAAAATCCAAGCTTCAGTTCTCGTATTTTTCTCGCTGAGAGATGTGGTTTTGTAGTGCCTTTGTGCCTTCCACTGCCTTCTTGAAGGTCCAGGGCGGTTTTCAATTCAGTCTGAAGGGCTGCATATTTTCTCGTTGCTTCAGCAAGTTTTTCTATTAAAATACGAGATTAAGAAAACTTTGAAGAGAACAGGTGTCATTTTCTGGAATTCAAAACTCACCGGAATAAAATGTATTTATTTTTTTGAGTTCACGATCGCAGAACGTAAAGAACACTTCATCGAATGATGCAAAGTGTCTTGAGATCATTTCTGGCTCGACACTCTCTGCAGAGGGTGCCTCCTCTACAGCTGTATAGAGCATTGCCTTCATCTCCTAGTGGAAAATGAGAACATGAATCAGACGAATATGTTAGCATTCGAAGTAATTGAGTGTGACGAGAGTTATTTTTGTTTACCTCGTAGCTTATGTACTGTTTTCGCCATTCTGGCGTGATGTGGGCTGACAAGTGTTCAGCGAACTTCATTGTTTTTATTAAATCTCGTCCAGATCTCTGTCAAATAGAAAAAATAACTCTGAACTACTAACAGTATTTTCAGGGATTAAAAAAATAGAATAGTATTGAAAATAACTCGAAATCCCTTTTAAGTAATTTGTGAATGACTTACAAAGGTAGAAAAATACCTCCACTATTCCCAAAAATGTGATTTCATGACAGAAGATCACGAAAACCTGATCTAATAATTTTTGCAGAGACAAAGAAAGAGATGAACGAGACGAGGAAAAGGGAATAGGAATAGTACTTACAATTCAAAAGCCCCGATGAAAAAACCTCAGAATATCCAGTGAACATTTATATCTCCTCTACTCCCTTTGTCGGCAGGAGAACTCAGAAATTCATGGCTTTATGATTAAATATTGATAATGATACGTAAAGTATAATCAAGAGCCTCACTAAAATTATGTACACTTGGCCACTACTTGGAAGAATGATAAAAAATGAACAGTCGAGTGACTCTAGTGCCAACACGACGTTATCACCAATCTCTATCAATTACTATAATGGAATCACGAGACTTCAACACGAGTCTTCAATCTTTATCAATCCAATGATATGTCATTTCTCGTTAGGCAACTTGATGGAAGTGAACACACAACACATGATACATTTTTCTTTTTTTTATTGCAGAGTGAAATACAGCCTTTTCTAACCTCAACAGTTGTTACATGCACTGACCTATTTACATTGATTACAGAATAAAAATAATGAGTGAGAGATGTGACTTTGCTGGTTATTATGTTTAATGAAATTATTCTCTATTCTCTCTGGGTACAAATGTCAATCAACGGATAAGAGAGTTTTTTTATTATTTCGATGAGGGCATTCAATCTCGCAACCAAGAACACGACGCGTATGTTATACACTAGAGGCGCTTCGGATATTGTTCACCATTTAAATTGTTCTTAAAAGGAATTTGGAATTCTGTGAAAAATTATGAAGATTCCAGGAATTTCCTGAATATTTCATCTCGGTGAATAACAAAAAATTGAAAAAATTCGAAATTGAACAAAATAATTGTGAGCATTGACAAGAAATGGATTATTTTTAAATGGATGGGTGAAGCTATTCTCTTTATCTTTATAGAAATTTATTAAAATCGTGTTATCTCGAATTATTAATTAATAAGTGAATAAATAAAATATTGACAACCAGTAAGAATATGCTCTATATCATATAGATATGAATAATATTAGGATAAAATCATGGCTATGAGGGATGTTCAAAGGTCAGGCCTGATGAAGAGTCAGGAAATGAACAATCTCTGCCCGAACGTTTTTATTTTATTTAATAAATCGTATTGTGTTGGGCTACTTCCCTCTTGCAGTGATTCCATGTAAACATTTATCACTTCCTCAAACATATAAATTTCCTTTAATTATCCCTTCCTCTCGTAGCACAGATTAAGTAATGAAATTGCAACAAAAATTAACCAGTTGATTACTTTCATTTGTAATTTAACAGCAAGTATTCACTGAAATTTGAAAATTCGAAATTTTTGAAAGAGTAATACGATAGAATGAGCGGAAGGGGGAAGTTTGTTGAATTTCAAATGGAAAAAATTATTCAATATATTGAAGATATAGTACTAATGAAATTATAATTTCATAATGAGCACGTTGCCTAGTGGGCAACGTGCTTGGCTGGCGCGCGCACGACTAGGGTTCGGTGCTAGCCATCATTCATTTTTTTTTTTATCAAAATCATTCCAATTGTTTTTTTTTTAATAACTAATCAAAGGAAATATCGTTTAAAAACTGAATTTTTCAAAATTGAGAAGATATCCAGTGAAATTGACAATTTTGAAATTTTTTCAATAGATTCTTTTTCAAAATATATACGCCTAATGAAATTATATTATTGCAATAGTATGTTATCCTAGCGGTAACGTGCTCGGCTAGCACGCCGACGGCCCGGGTTCGATCCCACCGTCATTCATTTTTTTTTTTAAATAATTCCAATTTTTTCTTTTGTAAATGGCTAATCAGTTGAAATATTGGTTGAAAACTGAATAGCTCTTCGATTGTCATGTTCCCCTGATACTTTTTCAGAAATTTCGAATTTTTCACTTTCAGTGAAAATTTCAGTGAATAGCTCCTCGATTGTCATATTCT